GGCTCAAGAAGCTATGGTTAGAAACCCAGGTGACATCCTTTATTTAGGTCTTAAACCTTATCTTACACTTGAAGGCCCACCAGTCTGCCTTTCCATACCTGCTATCAAGAAAAACTATGACAGAGGATGGTGACTCATTTCTGCCACAAGGGTGCTAAGCCTTTTACAAACACTTGGTATTTTTACAGGGGAACAAGGACCTCAAGTCCCAGGTAGTCTATTACTCACTGCTTTCTCAACACTGTAGGCACTTTATAGGTCTTTATCACCTTTCCCCCCAATAAAGATAAAACCACTTAACTGAGTTCAGAGGTTAGCTCAGGAAGAGAGAATGGAAATCCCAGTATAACCTCTGGACACTCTGCTAGAGGCGTCACATATTTTATTTGCCTATGGCTTTACATACTTGAGCCTCACTCAAACTTTATCACCCTCTGAGGTAGCTGGAGATCAGAGCAAGTAGCATAACCTGACCAAAAGCACCCAGCTGTCAGTGGCAGAGCATAAGGTTTAGGGCTGATAAGCCCGGATCCACGCCGGGCTGTTTGAGCCCTGCCTCTTCTACTTAACCAGCTGTGACTTTGGGAAAGTCATTTGACTTCTCTGATTGTTTTCCTTACTTGTGAAAACTAGGTTAACAACTGTACTTTTCTCCCAAGACTACTGGGGGAATTCAATGAGACAATACATAGGAAGCATCTTGCACAATGTCTGAGAAATAGGAAATGTTCAGCCAATAGTTTATTCTTATTAGCTAGATAAGAAATGACTGACTCAAAATTCTGCCCCTTGCACTGAAGAAATGACTTTTACATAGTTATTACAACCACCAAAAGCTAAAAGGCAACCAATCCATAACTGACAGCTTTCATCCAGATTCCACCTGAGTGTTTTCAGTGACAAGGGAGCTTACATAATCTGGATTGTCAGTGTTTTCTTAAAATGTGGATCCTGTAATGGTAACCAGCAATCTGATTGCGTCCTCAGTGTGTGTCACATTCTTTCTCATGCAACTATTTTGAGGTTAAATGTCCTTTCCCATCAATAGATTTTGGACTCTTTGAGAGCTGGGACTCTTGGAAATTGAAAATTACCATTTATTGAGCACTCAACACGCATCAGGCACTGTGTTAGCCAGGGTCGGCTTCACAGGCATAACCACGTGTGCAGTCACGCAGGGTTCCGCACTTAGCAGGGCCCTATGCTTAGTTTAATGCTCTGCTGTTACCCTCAAGTAATCTTGAACAAGGGGCTCCACATTTTCCTTTTGCCCTCTAAATTATATAGGTGATCCAGGGGCTAACTCACCACTTTTGCAGGTATTATCCCTTTAGTCTTCCCAAAACCCTGTGAGTTAGGTTCTCTTACCCCAGTTTTCACAGTTCAGGAAATGGAATCCCAAAGAGGCTAAGTAGCTTGCCAAAGCTCACAGTTAGGAAATGGTGGAGCTGGCACTTGAACACATGAAATCTGACCCTATAGCCCCCCACCTTAGTTCCAAGGTTCTATTTTATTCATGTCTCCCCTCTCCCCTTGCTCTGCAGCATTCAGAAGCACACATGCACTTAATAGATGAATGAATGGATGCATATATGCAGCACATCTGCTGTTAAGTTAGCTAAGAGAAGTGTAAGCAAAATGGCAAAAGCGTGGATGCCAGTTCTGGTTTGATTGTTTTTTCAAAGTTTGCAGGCTCATGGGTCTCAGCTGGGCTTGAAGCTCCATCCTCCCCAGCACTGCCAAGTGTTCAGACTATCAGATTTCTAGTATCATCAGTGGGGATCCTTGAGCAGGTTCACCAAACTCTCTGAGCCTTAGTTTTCTCATATTTAAAAGAGAATCGTAATCCCTCCTTAAACCATGTTGCTCTTCTCCTAAAGCCAAAAAGAAACATAAGGTGTTGGTTACAACACATGTGAGCTGGGCCTTGGACAGAATATAAAGATGGAAAAGCCTCCAGCTCTGTCCTCATGGAACTCACAGACAAGCAGAGAGAACATCTGACCCAAATAGATATAGTACAAGTAAGCCACGTTATGGTGAAGATTCAGAATGATGAAAGCACACCTTCCATCCCTCAAAAAATTTTTTTTGATATTAGGGACTATTTAGTAAGTACTCTGGCAACTCCATGTGCCCTCAACCCCAGTTACCAGTCCATCCTCACATCCTGTCTACTTTCCCTACTACGCCTCTCTAAAATCCAGCCACTTTTTCCTATCTCCACTGACACCATCCAACTTCATTAATTCACTCCACAAACATTTTAGCACCTACTATGTACACCTTTTGTTCGAGATGTCAGAAATCATAGCTGTGAACAAGACACCCTAACCAAGTTCATACACTAGTTGGGAGAACAAACAAAAAGGAAGCAAAAAATAAAATACTAAGGGGGAAAGGAAAATGTGCTGAACAAACGTAAAATAGTATATCCTTTAAAAAGAGTGGTTACAAAGGTTTCTCTGTTGAGGTGACCCCAGGACAGAATACAGCCCTTCCTTGCATGGACTAGTCCAATAGCTTGTCTCCCTGCCCCTTTTCTTCGACCCAACAATCTCCTCCATACAGCAAAGTAATTCCTTAAACATGTAAAGGTTTTGTAACACGTTTCCATTGCAATCACAATACGACTCAAGTTCATTTAACAAAACAAAATTTAGCAACCACATTAGGGCACTGTTCATTTAGTGCGAAGAGATCAAAAAAAAAAATCCCTGCCCTAATGGAGTTTACATGTGAGGGAAAATAAGAAAATACACAGCATTTTAAAACATAATCAGAAAAAGAAAGAGTGAATTGGAGGGGAAAAGCCAGGAAGAGTGATGGGAGAGAAGAGGGTTGGGCTTCGATGTTTTTAACTCCTCACGTGACCTGGCCCTGCCTAACCACCTTCTAGTGTTGCCTCTCCCCTTCCTCCAGTATTTCAGCTCCTTAACCGCAATACTTTCCCTCCCGACTTTGCAAATACTGTTTCCCTCTACCTGAACCACTTGCGTCCTCTTTACACCTACTTTACTCAGCTTTCAGTTCAAATATTATTTCCTTTGGGAAAACTACCCACACTCGGCCGAACCGTATTCTAGGCTTCCGCAGTACTATGCCCCTCACCTTTAAACACCGGTCATATTTTGACTTTATACCGCGTTTGCATTTGTTTGTTGTGCATAACTTCACGTAAGCTCCATGAGGGCACAGCTGCTATCCGTTTTGCCGCGGATTCCGCGTCTAGCACGGAGCCCATGTCCCTACAACAGGAACCCACCTTACGCGCCAAACACGCAGAGGACCGGAAGAGCTGAGTTACATCGGGAAGACAGGATGGGGAACCCCTCAGAGCGCAAGGGCAACCGGAAGTGTGGTATTCCCTTCCGGGGCGGTGAGAGAGAAACACCCGCGAAGGCTACCGGGAAACGTGGTTTTTGAAGGGCGCGTAGCTCGTCACTTGAAGCGAGTGCGCGTGCGCTGTCTCCGTGGGCCGAGGTGGGGAACATGGCCGCGCGGCTCCTGTGGGCGGTCCGGCGGCGGATGCAACCCCTCCTGGCCTCGAGTGCTGCATCTGACGGCAGGTAAGCAAGGCCATGGGGTTGGGGACGTGAGGACGATACGGGACCAGCGAGCCAGAGGGGCGATTGTAGACTGGAGGGCGAGAGGACCCACCAAGCCTCTTAGCCACTACAACTGGGCGCTCACGGCCCCATCTTACGGAGCGGGAAACTGAGGTCCACAGCCGCGCCTCCTTGCCAGGCCGAGGAAGGTGGGAAGATCCGAGGTCACGCCCTCGGAGGTGGGATCTCTTCTTCAGCCCGAGCGTCCATTGAGTTGGGAGTGTACCTTTCCCGACCCCTTCTCTCCAGCTTTGGTGCCTGGTGAATTGGGATTTTTTTTCCCCAATACCCTGCATGATCTTTGGCCCGTCCTTTCCCCACTATCCGGGCTTGATTTTACCTATCGGTTAAAAGAGGGCATTGGACTTGGTCTCTCTCCAAACGGCCCTTCCACCTGCCTTTGGGAGTCTGTGAAGTTCCGGTTGCTGCTTTTATTCGATTGCGGCAGCTTTTATTGATCACTTATCATGCTGATTGTAGACTATGGGTAGTTCCTTTTATTTCCGTTTAATTGAGGCAACTGAGGTTTACAAAAGTTGAGTAACTTCTCCAAACTTAAATACTTGGGAAGTGGCGGAACCCAGACTGGAAACCAGTCAGGGTTCTAGAATTGGCCCTTTTAATTAGTGACCAATATTAATTATTCTCAGGGACGATTCCCCGTTGACAGTTTCTTTATCTGAAAGAATAAAAATTGCTGAATGGGGGATGGGTAAGGTTGGATTTATGAAAAGTAAATTAAACTGTGGTGAAATCCGGGCACTTTGCGTAACTATTTGTCACCTTTGTATCTTAACACACCTAACTCAGTTCCCCACCCCCATCATCAGGTTGAGAGGGTGAAGTCAGGATTTCAAGCTTTTTTTCTTTTTCTTTTTTTTCCTTAAGGTCTTTTTGGCAGTTTGTGGTGTAGGGAAGAGATAAAAGAAAAATGTTTCCTTCTAACAAAATTTCCCCTCCCTCCAATTCTGAAGCACTAGGAGTTGAGAGGATCTGCCACAACTCCCTTCTTTTTCACGACTTTGGCTGTGGCCATTTTCCCTTTCAGCTGAGGCTGAGGATATTTTGACCTACTTTCAGTTGGATAAATGTAATTTGTTAAGGAATTTAGGAGGAAGGATCTATTTCACCCTGTGTGATGTGCCTCAGATCTATGGTGACCATATTTTCTGAACTAAAAATTTGTAATCATATGTAATCTGACACCAGATCATAATAGCTGAATTCAAGATTGGCCTAGAAGATAAAAGTCCTCTTCCCCACACACTTATAGTGACTGTTCCTCTTCATTTTCTTGAAATAAACTCCTTTATCCACTTTAAGCCTATGCTTAGATTTCACCTCAGTGACCACTCTTCAGTATATGCCAGTTTACGTAAACAAACTATTTGTTTTAAAGACCTTTTGCGTTCACAGATTTTCTTGATGGTTTTACTTCAAAAATAAGGATCATGGGGATGTAACAGAAACTTCCCTGACTGACTGCTACAATCCAAGATCTATAGCTAGCCCCTACTCTAAATTTTTTATGTAAACTGAACTGTGTGTCAAACATTTTAGCTGTACAAAACTCTAGAATACAAACATAATTGAATGCAAAGATCTATTTTATGCACCTGTTTATAGTTCACAGTCCACAACATACAGTGTTTTATAAGTATTTAACTGACTTGATTTTACATATAGGTGAGTTCCCAACTCATTTTCTCTTAGCACAGATTCTTTTCCATAAAAGCCTTACTTTTACTTAGAATTTGTGGGTCAAAAAGGCTTTAGAATTCTAGGCCTAACTTCAGTTTGATATGATAAGGTACGTTTACTGGAATTAATTTCCTCATCTATAAAATGAAGGAGTGAACCTGAACTGTTTGGCTTTGTGTTTGATTTCCTGCTTCTGATGTTGCCCTGCTGGTTCTAAGTATTAGAATTTGATTTTCTCTTGTTGACTTTTGTGTCCCCACTTCTGGCTATTTCTACTGCCTAATTTTCAGTATCCTGGTTCAACAGAATACTAGCTCTGTGATCTTAGGCAAATCAGAAGCCTCTCTGAGCTTCAGTTTTCTCATCTATAATATAGGGATGATAATAGTATTTACCTCACACTTCATGAGATGAAAAGATGATTTAAGTAAAACCCTGACAACTATGTTTTGCATCCAGCAAGCACATTATAAGTGTTTGTATTGTTTCTGTGACTGAAAGCACTTTGACTAGAGAGAGTCAATCTGGGAAAAACTGCAGACTCTGAACTTTGTTGTAACTTTAGCTGTCTGTGATGGCATTTCTTCATAATGTACCACCTCTCTCCCACTTTAGGGGATGGCTGCATCCTTTCAGCACTGCTACCCAGAGAACTGCTGGTGAGGACTGCAATTCTGAGGACCCTCCTGATGAACTTGGGCCCTCTCTTGCAGAACGAGCCTTAAAGCTAAAAGCTGTTAAACTGGAGAAGGAAGTCCAAGATTTAACAGTGAGTGAATTTTACATTATCTGTTCATATATTCTATAATATATAGTATGTTTTCTGTTATCTGCTTAGATTATCTATATTATCTTCACATCTTCCCTCCAGTTTAAATATCTACATAAAGTTTTTTATGTCGGATTTTATGTCCTCTAATTGGCTCTTTACTTACCCCCCACCCCACTTCCACTCTTGCTAGGTATACTAGGCATTATAATCTGTAGTAGTTCAAAAACATCACTGACTACAGATGATCATTTTTCTGCAGTTCCCTCCCATGTCCCAGTCTTAGATATCTGATGTTTTGGTAGCTTCAAAGAAAGTACATGTAGTAGACATGTACTAGACACTCAATAAATATTTGCTGAATGAGTTATCTCACTTATCATTGTATTCTGCCAATCAGGCTACAGCTAGGATACTATGCCGTACTGGGCTGACAGATAAACTTTGAGGAAGATAAATAATTAGAGTAATTCCAAAGCAAGACCACCCAAAAAGAGAAAGGAAGTTGGAAAGCATGTCTTATGAGAGTAATTAAAGGAACCAGAGATTATAAGAATGAAAGAGAAAAAGAGTAAAGAGGCTAAGATAACTGCCTTCAAATAGACGGCATATTTTTAAAACTTACTCTTGGTTGTCCTAGAGTTCAGTTCAACTAAAGAAAGTTGGCGGATGGAAGTATTGGCTGACGGTGAAAAAGAAAGCTTTTTCTCAGGATAATGAGCTTGAAAACAGTTGTTTAGTGTTCAAACTAGCAGGCTAAATGACAGCCTATGAAGGCTATCATAAAAAGAGTTTTACTCTAAAAATTTAGAGTAGCTGATCTAAGATTCCTATACCTCCTAATTTTTTTTTAATGAAAACCTATCACAAGGCTAAAATGTGTAAAGTAAGCAAAAAGTTCCTTTCCACCAATAAGCATTTTTATTCTTATCACTTTGACTTTGCTTTTGATACTCAGGTGAGATACCAGAGAGCTGTAGCTGATGGTGAAAATATAAGAAGGCGAACCCAGAGATGTGTAGAAGATGCCAAGATATTTGGTGAGAGATTTATTAATAATAAAAACACCTTTTAGTTTAAGGGCACTTTGCTAGCAGTTCTGCACACTGAACTTAGCCAAAAACACATCTGGGTCCTTAACTAATCCGTACCCTACCCTTCCTCTATCCCCAGAGGCTTTCTGTGCTGCTTATTGAGAATGTTGTCAAGTGAACCATTTGCTAAAATAATGCTTGCCTTTATTTTCAAGCCTGTACAGTTAATATTCTAGTGCTTATACAAGCAATTCTGTTTAACTCATTAATGAACAAGTAAATCATTGAGATGTTCACAGGAGATTTCAAAGAGCAGACACATAGGCAGCCAGAAATGCTGAAATTTTGCTTCAGGCAAAATTGGTCTGTATCCATAGTGCAGTAATCACCTGTATCTCCACCAGACAATTTTCACAACTATGGACGAGAATACTCTCAGTGTTCTACAACTTGCTAAGTTACAACTCAGAGGCTCACGCCACACGGAATCAGATAACCCTGAAGGCTGTGCTAGATCAAATCTGTTTTTTCACTGATGATACTGAGTAATCTTTTTAGTCCATTTCAGAGTCTTTCAGAAACTTTTTCCTAAGTGCACCACATCTCTTTCCAAATTTGCTCATGAAAATCTTAGTTAAGTAACAGGGATTCAAGGGTAAAGGGCAAATCTGTGATTACTTGCTGTACTCATAATTTAACATGGAGCAGTATACTTTTACTACACATAAGATGGAGTGCTTGAGGGGCCTCTGGATTTTATCTAGTCCAATTTCCTCTTATAGGTGAGCTAGAAAAAGTTATTTGGTGACAGGTGTGTAGACATGAGTCCATTGACCCCTAATCTGTTATTCTTTTCCTTTTATCACACTACTCCCTCTTTATGTTTTATCCGGTATTTGTACACAGGATTCCCTTCGTTCCTGCCCTGTCCAACTCCAGTGCTTTGGCATAGCCTTCTGCTTTTCATTCAGTGCTATAGACTCATCTTTCAAGACTTTGAGTAAATACTAACCACCAAGTTGAATTCCTAAATAGCTAAATACTGGCCCCCAAATGGTGTTCTTGTTATTTCATCCATGTTTTAGTCTCCTATTTCCAACTATCAGGGCTCAGCAAACTATAGCCTGCAGGCCAATCCTGCCAGCTGTTAAATACAGTAAATACAGTCCTGAATTTCATCATTAAAAATTTGTGGAAATTGATTTTCTCTTTTGCTAAATAATCACCTACGTAAGATGCTTAATTCTGCCTCTTATCCCACAAAACCTAAAATATTTACTATATGGCCTTTTACAGAGAAAGTTTGGTGACCTCTAAGCTACAGGGAATTTTTGTAGCAAATAGACCAATTGTGATAATGGGAAGACTTCCTGCCTGCTTGAGGGGAGCAGAGTGAACTGACTTACCAGAAGTCAAGTTTTGATGCGTTAGAAACTGGGTTATGTCAGTTTCCTCAAGAATTAATAAGGTGCTTAGAAACAAGCACATATTAACTAAATTCAAAAGAATTTGGTAATCTAATTCATTAATTTAGAGAGAAAAATGTCTAGCAAAACATGCCACATAAGTCATTTGCTTGGGTCATTTCCTCCTAGTGGCCAGGAATACTTAGAAACTTAAAGATTGTTCTGTGAGCATGGAATTAGAAAAAAAGTAGAAAGCTTTTATTTTTATTTAATTAATGCATAGTATAGCATGATGACTATCTTCCTTCTGGGGATAGTCTTGTCTCAGTTACCCACCTTCTCTTAAACAGGTCACAGAGACCTTTATCCCCTCTAAGGAATGGTGTGAACACCAACCATCTATTAAAGTAACACAATAATACAAACAGAATCAGGGACGGAACCCCCTCACTCTGTAGGCAAGAGAATCCAGGCTTCTGTTTATCCAGATTATTACAAGTTTACTGACTAAAAGCCAGGACTCTTTGTACCATGGCAGTGTAGAAATCAACCCAGCAGTTTACAGCTTTCAAAATTCTATTAGAGTATTTGTCTTCCTCTGAATAGCCAGGGAAAGCCCTTGATGTCCCTGATTGATCTTTATCAGACATTCTTTTCTCTAAATTTTGTCAGTGTACTTTTCAAGCCTTTAGCTAATCTCTTCCACTTTTTCTGCTGATGTTACTAACAGCGATTAATATATACAGCTGCCATCCCTAATGGTGATGGGGGAGGTGTTTTGTGGAATTCTGAATACACCAAGTCTGGTTCCCAGGAAATGCCTGCTGCTTTCATTCTTTCCTCTCCATTGCCTCCTCTCTAGCTTCCAATCATATCATACCAAGATTACTTCAGTTGGCTCTGCTCTATTTCTTCTGATATCTTTTCACTCCACCCATCTGTCCTGCCCCAAGCACCCAGAGTCATTATGTGTTATTGTTAGATAATTTAAATTCTGTTCCACCTGTTTTGCTCAAGAAACTGGAGTGGATTTCTGTTACCCAGAAGTTAAAGGTAGAATCTTTACCTCTGTGTCAGTCATTACTTCCCATCCAGGCAGTATGTACCTAGAAAATGTCTCCTCTGTCATCATCTCTTTTAAGCTACCTGTTTTGGCACAGGACCTTGAACCTGTCCTTGGATTAAAGCTAAATCAGCAAAGTCCTTTACCCCCCACCAGCTCTACCCAGGGCTTTTGTATTACCATGGATATCTGTAATGATGATATTCCTTCTCATATCTGAGAAAAATCAAGAATGCAGCATTGGGAGTAGTAAGATTTTTCCACAGCTGAGTTTACTTTTATAAAGTTTATGTGATTCTAAAAAGATTAGACAAGTCGGGTGGCCTGTCTCCATCAGGTATAGAAAACTTCATAGCAGGCATTTAGAGACTTACCTCGTCTATGGAGTGTCTTACTTTCCTGTTCCTATTTAGCTAATCTTCAAGAATAAACCACTCTTTGACTCCTCTTAGTCTTGTCAACTATTCTTTTATTATTCCCCCATCAATGAAATACTAATATCTTGTTTCTATTGAAAATGCATGCCTTAGCACAACTGAGATAGGAATTTTCAAAATGTGTGTAACATAGTACTAAAGGTGAATAATAACAAAAGTACAAGAAGCATATAACAGTAGTCAAGTTTTAAAGAACAGTTTTCTGAACCTTTGTATATAGTCTTACCTGGCCCCTGGGTTCTAACCATCTTCCCCATTTCCTGGTAGGCTTCCTAGTCACATTCCTTCCAAGAGAAATGCTGGCTTGTCAGTGGGTTGCAGTAATAATTATTGATGATGATCCCAGAATCCTGTGTGGCAATCTTCCCATTTCCTGGGGTACCCAATATACCAGCCACCTCTCTGGGCCTTCCCCAAACTCTACTGTCAAGAGCGGAGTGATGTCCTCACAAACATTAAGAGTGTCTGGTCTCTCTATAGGCATTCAGAGCTTCTGTAAGGACTTGGTAGAGGTGGCAGACATTTTGGAGAAGACTACAGAGTGCATTTCTGAAGAAACAGAGCCTGGGGACCAGAAGCTCATTCTGGAGAAGATCTTCCGAGGGTTGTCACTTTTAGAAGCAAAGCTGAAAAGTGTGTTTGCCAAACATGGCCTGGAGAAGATGACACCCATTGGTGACAAATATGACCCTCATGAGCATGAACTCATCTGTCATGTGCCAGCTGGTGTAGGGGTGCAGCCTGGCACCGTGGCATTAGTAAGGCAAGACGGCTACAAGCTTCATGGCCGCACCATTAGACTTGCCCAGGTGGAAGTGGCAGTAGAGTCTCAGAGGAGACTATGAATGGGCCATGAGGAACTGAGTGTTCTCCCAGCATGCAGTCACCTGTGATTCTTTTATTTATTAAACTAGGTTTGTATTGTACATGAGGTACTTCATGTAATCTGTTTTGGATTTAGTCATATTGGCTTTATTTCTAAGATACTCTGTTGATTTAATGTGACCTGTTTGGTCTCATCAGAAGTCTTGCCATTGGGCATTTGAACAATGTGACAAGGGTTCCTGTGGCCTTATCAAAATATGTTTAAGAAAATTATTTTTAAACTGGTACTCTGATGACTTTCAACCCAAAATCCTTTCTAAAGGTGGAAATGAGTATATGTTTGTGTATTTTCAACTTAATGTTCCCTCCTAATGGTCCCTATAAACAAATTGTATAGGATCTTGTGTTTTGTGGGAAAAGCAGATGGTAGGGATTGGTTCAACATTTGGGTACTTAGATGATAAAGCTTTATAGTTGTATGCATTTAGACCATGTGGGTTGATTTTTATGCACAGAGATTTTTCAGGACTTCACTTTTTTATTTTCCTTTTAGCCATCTTTTGTCCTTGTAGTTCTGCCAGGTAGGCTTCATATTCACACTCATTGTCCCTTTTCAAATCCCACGTACAAGGCTAAAGGCTCAGGCAAGACTTGGAAGGAGGGAGCATCAAGAAGTCGAGATACCAGGTCCCTTTCAGGCAAGTATGGCCAAGAAACCTTGTGCTTTCTTGCTAAATTATCTTCAGATTATTTTCAGCCTCCATAGGTTTATTATCATTTCAGGGAAATTGCGGCAGCAGCGATAGCTAATAACCTACATCAGTCTGTACAGGTAATTTACTCACAACTTCTCTTTCTACTAGCTCTTAAATTCTCTGCCACTTTGTCAGATTTACCTTATGACCCTTTATAAGATTATGTGGGGAGGTGTCAGGACAAAATATATTAGGTTCCCATGATTTCTTATTTCATTTAGTTTTGCTGGGTTGGGGGGTTCTTTTGTGTGTGTTTTTGGGGGGTCTTTTGGCACTCACAATTCACTACCTCTCTTACATTGATGAGTTTTATTTTCTAGTTTTTGTTGTATCTGTCTCATGTCAGATGTGTAAACATCTAGCTCCCCTTTTATGTATTGACCTCCTAGAGTTAATGAGCCTATGTCTTTATTTTTTATTTCAGTCTTGCTGATAGATGGTATTCTGTAAAAGATTTATTCAATAAATGAGTTAGTAAATGAATGATATATCAGACTTTAGAAAGGAGGTCATTATGGATATTTTAATGTTAGAAGCGGCCTTGCCCTTTCAGCTTCTTCTGAAGTGTGAAAACATAGTCTTTTTAGGACTGGACTCAAAGAAAAAAAAAACTCTAAAAATAATAAACTAAATTTCAGAGAGAACTTGAGTAAGAAACAACTAGATATCAACTTTAATCATTTAAGATTCAACAGTTCTATAATAAATATGCAAATAATTCATCCAGCAGACAATTAATGTTGTTAGGTGTCCAGATTGCCCAGGTTTAGGTACAAGTTAGTTACCCATAAAATAAATCCATCTCTGCTAGAACTCTGTGACCCCATTCCATGAGGTGGTGAAAGCTATCCTCTTAGACATCATAGATAGTTCTAGCATACCACACAGACATGTATCAACAAAGCCATCCCCAATGGGTCCTACCATTTTCACCAGATTTAGACACTTAAAAAAACAAATACATGCTTCGAAGATGCAAACAAAGACTAGTGGTGAGAGTTTAAAACCAGAGCCTCTTTTGGCATTCCACTAAGACAGACTAAATTTAATGAGCATTCAGATTTCACAGTAGGAATTTGTGCATTTTTTTGCCTTCATTCCTTTGAGATTGACACATGGTAACAAGAAAATGAGCCAATTATAACTACCCATGTGTTCTTGGATTACTAGCTATCATTACCAATAAATTAGAATAACCATAAGTTTAGGTGTGGAATGGTCTGATTACTTGAAGAGTTTTTTAATATTCCTTGCAACTTCCTGTCTTAGCAAGTATTTGAATGAGAATAATTTTAGGTTCTTCTATTATTCAGTAGTTTTGCAGACTTGAAAGTATAAATTTAGAAGATGGAGCTATAACAGTGTGAATCTCAAAAAGTTGAAGGGCTTTCAGGAGCCAGCGCAGCATTGCCGAGACATACAGGCATCAACTTGAACATAATCCCCAGCTCAATCACTTCAATCTTCTGAGCCTACTTCCTTGTTTGTAAAATAGTTACAATTCTCAAAGTATTTCGAGGATTAAATGAAATGTGCAAATTGCCTATTACAGTAGGCCCTCATATATTTATTTTTATTGCTTTTATTATACACATTGTTTTTCCTATGTTGTTATAGTTGCCTAAAGTCTAGGGAAAGGGGAAGACTGGTTAAGTGGTGCTTGACTGTTTAAAAAAAATTTTTTATATAAGCTAATCAATCACAGTGAACTTATTTTCCTTTCAGCTTCTGTTTTTGTGTTTGTTTGTTTTAACCATAATGAAGGAAGTCTACGTTTTGTGACTGGAGGAACAAGAGAATTGTTTCAGCACTCTTAATTATATTCATATTGATGGTAAAGTGAAAAGACATTATTGGCTTGCAGATAATATGTGTAAGGAAGCTTTGGCTCATTTGAAGAGGGATCTTGGTATTTTAGTACTTGGATTATACAAATCTTTTGTGGATTTTCCTCACTGCCATAATGGAATCCTTCAGTTTGATACTGATAAAAGTTATATGGTGTTCTTTCATGGCAAAGGATTTGATGAGTAAGGTTTTAGACACTAAAGCAAAATCAAATAAGGAAATTAAGGATGAAATGTAATTTTCAGAAACAACTTTAATAAAACCTTAATTGAAATAACTGTGGTTCACGCACTTAATGTCTTTGTCTGCCAGATTCATATTGTATATTGACATGTTATGGTCACTCCATTGATTACTGGCTCACCTTGTTGATGATCAGTGGACGTACCTTGAGATCTCACAGCAGCCCAGCCCAGTGGACGCGGTGTAGGCATTCTACACCCTGCCTCAGTGTTGAAGTCTTGTCTGTTCTTCTACCTCCTTGACTTGCTTCCATCTGACATCTGTGTATTTCTTAGATCTGAATTCTTCCTCCTTCTGCCTTCCTCTCTGGCATTGCCTTACTTTCCTGTGTTTGCTTCTTGGTTCTAATTGTCTTACCTGCTTTAATCATTTCACTTGAACTGCAGGATTTCTGACCATCCTTTCAACCAGATTACTGGCATGTGGCCTTGCTCTGACCTTCCACTTCCACGTGTCCTTTCCCAACCTTTGCCTGGCCTTGTCTTTACCTCTGCTTCTCTGCCAGCTTCCACATAACCAGCCTCCTGGCTCAGTGGCCCTCTTTGGAGCCAGCCTTTCCTGTAGTTTGGCCTTGCATTTTCATCATCCGTCCAATCTTGTCTGCGTGCCCTGGCTCCATTATTTCTCATACTCTCAGTGCTAGTCGGTAAGTATATTCTTATTCCTATCCACTCAAACTTTGTCTGTGTTCTCAAGTTCAGTGGAGGTTTTAAAACATGGGGTCAAATCTCCAAATCTGGACCAATAGAATATAGTGGAAGTAACTGCCGGTTTCTGGACCCAAACCTTCCTGTCTCTGGATACTCATTCTTGGTACCCAGGCATCAAGCCAAAGAGCAAGCTCAAGCCTGTGGAGTGGAACTGAAGGTCATGGCTGAGCTTCCAGCTGATGGCCAGCACCATCCTGCCAGCCATCTCAGCCATTTTGAAAGTGACCCTCGAGCTTCCAGTGGAACAGCTCCACCTGACACCACATGGAATGGAGATGAGATGGTCTCACTGAGCCCTGCCCAGGGTGCAGATTTGTTGGCAAAATAGATGACTGTTACCTTTCATCACTAAGTTTTGGGGTGGTTTGTTACACAGCAATAAATAACTGACAGACTTAACCAAGCTCACTCCCAGTTCTGCACCTCAGCAGCCACCAGAATTATGCTTCCTTCCTTTTTCTTACAGCTCTTTTGAATTTGTCCTGTAAATTTGACACACATTGTCAATGTGCTGTATGAGTTGAAGAATTTTTTAATAGAAGAAAATGAAGCTCTAGAATCTAGTTACCAAGGATCCTAAAATTAAAAGCAAAATAGTATCACGAAGTTTCAAAGGTAACGTGATTTTACCCTATTTAAAAAAAAAACTTGCAAAAATCATGTTAGCACATAAGAGAAAGTGGAACAAAGTGATCAATGAATGCTTGTTTTAAAAATAATTTAAGGGAACCCAGTTTGGCCCTGTTAAGACTTACATGGCTGGTTGGAATCTCAGCTGTATGCCCTTTCGCTCCTCTGAGTCCCTTCATTTTCTTCTCTTAGCCATAATCTGACTGGATAAACATGAATTTTTCTTACTGTATCCCGAAACTCATCCTCAATTTTATTTTCTGCTAGAGGAAATCTGTCATTGTGGGGTAAACTAGTCATAGTGAGCGGCTCTTGTTTTTTCAGAGGGTGAAAATGGGAGCTTATCCCTTCCTTTCTACCTTTTCTCCCCTCTGAGAGAAAAGCGGATGAAACCCTTCCCTTTTGTTTTTAAGTAGAAGGTAGAGATAGAAACTGTGCGTCGAGACTGCAAATACACGAGTAACAGCAGTCTGGAAAGCATCTGGCCTTGTTTCAGCATACGCACAGGGTAGCGTCTAGCCATCCTGGCTGCACAATTGGTCAGCAATTTCCAGCACTAGCAGATCCAGCCAAGCGACTTCACATTCCTTATGTCACGTGATTATCACACCACTTAGAAAGGTAGAACAGGGAAACTGAATGAGACACAGAGAAAGCATATTACAGACCTAGGAACTCTCAGAGGTTGGATTTGAACGGAGGTCGTCAAGGCTTCAGTTCTTTCTCTGCCATCAATATCCCGGGAGCTGGTCCCTGGTCCTGATGCTGAGCACCCAAAGCACGCACACCTGCGCTGGAGCAGAAGGAGCTATCCAATGAGGAACCCGCATCCAGGAGGCGGGACGGAGAAGCTGCCAATGACAGAGCCTGCCCCCTGAGAAATGCGGCTAATGGCCTCGTGCTGGAGAGGGACGGCTGCGCGTCCAATGAGAGGCTGTGACCAACGACGCTGGAAGGAGGAACAGCCAGTGGGGCGCTGGGGCGGGGCGGGGAGCGCAGCGCCAACCCGCGAGCGCCCGAGGCCAGGCGTGCTGCCCCGATCGCCGCCCGCCATGGCCCGCGCTGCCCGGCTCCTCGCCGCGCTGGCCGCGCTCCTCGCCGCCGCCGCTACAGGCGATGCCCGGCCCAGCAAAATCGGTGCGGGAAGGACCGGGGTGGGGTGCTGAGCTGGGGCGGGCTTCGAGGAAAAGGTGTTGTCAGTTTGGAGCAGCTGGGTGGGGGAAGGGGAAGGCAGCTGGGCGAGGGAGGGGACCTCAGGAGAGGAGTTGGGTGGATACGAGCTGAGGCTCTGCGACTGGGCGAGGAAGGGACCGCAGTAGGCAGGGTGCTGATGGGGAAGACGTCCAGGGCTACTTGTGGCGGAAAAGAGGTTTGGGGCAGGACTGGCCACTGATCTTACCAGAACGTCCAGGGACACTGAGCATCTGCCATGGTCCCGGCCCTTTGCCAGGTGCCTTCAGGACAGAGACCCTGGCCTGTCTGGATGGTGTCATTCAGGCAGGTTTATTGAAGGTTGTCTGTGTAGCAGGCACAGTGCTCCATAGTTCCTGTCTGGAGGAGGAGAGTGCACAATACGAGGAAGTTAGTGCTAAGGCTGAGAAAACACTGTTGAATACAGAGGAGAGGCTCTTCGCCCCAGTCTTTGCCGGCTCTGGGAGGGCTTCCTAGAAGTAATATCTAAGCCAAAACCTCGTGGAGGGTAGGATACAGTCCTAGGAGGGGGAAACCCATGGCAAGCCCTCTGGGGATAGATATGCTGAATGACAAAGTGGGGAATTTTTAACAGCAGTCATTTTATTTGTTTTTTATTTCAACATTTTATTTTGAAAATTTGCAAATATACAGCAAAGTTGAATTATATAGTGATCATCTTTATACTCATCACATAGATTCTGCTGTTAAGAAACTGCTACTGTGTTTGTTTTATCACATACCTATCACACGTTCATTAGTCCATCTTACATTTTAATGCATTTCAGAATAAACTGCAGACATCAGGACGTTTTGCTGAATACTTCATCGTGTATATCATTAACTAGCATTCCGTATTTGCTTACAGTTTTTTCTCCTTAACATCTGTCATTTTTACTCGACGTGACTCAAAGATTTTCAAGTCCCTTGTACATAAAATTCCCATAGGTAGAGATGCTGGGTTTCTGGGTGGGGGAGTAGGAGTCCCTACTCCACTAGGCTGCCCTCTGTGCACCCCAGTTGGCAGGGAGAGATGACCCATGGGAGCACCACAGACTTAATGGGGCTAGTGCAGTGCTAAGGCTTCTTGGATTACCAAACCACAGCTCAGGTCATAAAGGGTTAAGACAGGCTGAAGCATGCCAAAAGTCAGCTTGGGACTGAACATTTAGGGTTTTCAGAGGAAAGAGAATCCAGAGAGCTAGACTGGCCGAAGAAGGCCTGTTGGAGAAGGTAGATTTGGAGCTAGGCTTTGAAGGATGGGGAAGAATTAGGCAGGCAATGTCTGGGGGTACAGGGCCTTCCCCATCTCTTGAGAAAGGGTGGGAGAGGACACTTCCCACTGATCACTGCAAAAGGGGCAGGGCCTCCTCACAGCTTTACCATTTCTGGCAGTGCAGAGCTTGCTGCCTGCCTCATTCCAGCCAGCCCTGCCCTCCTTGCCCCAAGGGTCATCAAGGCAGGATACCTGACAATGCCAAGCTGCCTTGGAGCTTTCCCGATTTTCCTCAGCCCTCTGACAAGAGCCTCTGTCTGTCCTTGGTGGTTTGGACTCCACCCACAATAGGAATGTGGAGCTTCCTGTTAAGATGGCTTAACCCTCAGACTGCTGCATAATCAAATCTGAACACCCTGGACCCTTTAAACTCCCCTGTAGTTCCAGACATACCCTGCTTGTGCTGTTCTCTCTGCAGAGAATGTGTTTCTGCTCATTGGCCAAGCCCACTGTCCTCCAGGGTCCTGATCAAAGTTGCTTCCCCTGTGAAGCCTGGGGTCCACACCCTCGGGCAGAATTCATTGCTCCCTCCCCAGGATTCCCTAGAACCCTGTTGTTGCACTTAGTCACTTATTGTCACAGCTAATGGTGCGTGAGTCTGTCCACCCATTCCTGCCTGTGCCCGGGGGGGACAGAAGCCTTCCCTGTTTGATTCATCCACATCTGGGCACATCTTACCATAGACAAGAGAGCAGGTGTCAGTTCATAGGCATTGAGGTGGTTCTCAATGAAGTGAGGTCTTCTGCTTCCCTATAGCCCTTGGGCAGCATCCAGGCCTTGTGATAGCAGTTTCTCTGGAAAAACTGGGAAATTTGAGGCTTTGTTGAAAATGGAGGAGAGGGAAGCACATTGGTTTAAAAGGTTAAAGGCACTCTTGGAAGTAGCTTTTCAGTAAACAATGAGAAGAAGGAAGTAGTTCTTTCAAGATGCAACAAATACTTAATGAGTTCTATTGCCTGCCAGGATCTGGGGACATAGTGACCTGCCTTCAATCCTTAAACAGACCGTTTGTGTATAATGTGCTGTGGACCAGGCCTGGCCAAGGAGAGTGTGCTGTGGAAATATGCAGGAGGAACATTTATCTTAGGTGGGTCAAGGCAAGCCAGCTAAAATGACCACAGAGGTCAGACAGGCAAAGGGTGACAGAGCATTCCTGACAAAGGGAGCAGCACAGGCAAAGACACAGGCCTGACACAGCAAAGTCACATGCTCCACAGCAAAAGAAATGAAGACAGGCAGGAGGTGGAGTATTGAGAGGGCGAGGCAGGGAACGGAATAAGTAAATGGAGACCAGTTAGAGGGAAGCTGTGTCTTAGATATATGATGGGCAAAAACTGGGTAGCGTGGCCGTCCAGTTCACTAGCTTCACAGCTGCTTTACTGTCCTCTCAGTGCTGTTTGATGATAAGTATCTGTCTGGACAGTAGTTTCTAGCAGCACTCCAAAGCCCTGTCCAATGAAACGCTTTTCTCAGTGACTTGGATGGTAATATTGATGGTATATGAACCAAGTCTGCAAATAACAGGCAGTCAGGAGGCATAGTAAAGACAGTGGATGATAAGACCCAAAAAGACCTCAGCAAGCTGAAACGTTGTAACGAGTCCAAATCGGAAGGGAGTGCCCTGTACGGTGATGAGCAGCCCTTCACAGGGTGCATGCCAGGCTTGGCAAACACAGATGTGGAAATGACTTAAGTGTCAGGTGGTGGGTTGGACTAGACCAAGGGTTGGCTGACTTCTTCAGGAAAGGGCCAGAGAGTAAATATTTTAGGCTGTACTTGCAGTCTCTGTTGCAACCATACTCAACTCTGCCTGGCATGAAAGCAGCCATAAACAACAAGCTAAAGAAAGGATGTGGCTGCATTCCGATAAAACTTTGCTAGCAGAAACAGGCATCTGCCTAGATTTGGCCCTCAGGCTGTAGCTTGCCAACCCCTGGATTAAAGAGTGGATTCCAAATGCTAATCTAACCTAATGTTACCCATCAGTGACCAGGTTTTCACCAATTCATAGTGAAATAAAAATAGGGGCAATGTAATGTAATGCTATGAAACTAAATTTATTCTTTTTAAATAAGCATCCTGAATTTTGAGATTCTTTCCTGTCCCTTTGCTGCTAACATGTCTTTTTGTTTATAAAATAAGGGTTATATAGTAGGTAACTGTTTTCAGGTTGTCCTTTGCTTTTTATTCATACCTTTACTAAGAACTAGTCTGCAGATTTCCTTTTTGAGATGTTAGAAGCCTATGAAATGCGGAGGGTATAGCTCAGTGGTAGAGTGTGTGCTTAGCATGCATGAGGTCCTGGGTTCAATCCCCAGTACCTCCACTAAAAAAAGAAAAAGATTTAACACAATATTGTAAACTGACTATACTTCAATTTAAAAAAAAGAAGAAAGAAGCCTATGAAATGTAAATGCCCTGGAACTTCAGGCCCAGGAGGCTGAGAAGGTGTGACCCGTGTCTCACACCCATGCTCTGTCTCTCCCCATGCCTGCCTCCCGGGCCTGCTGGCAGCTGTGGTTGGAGCCGGAATTGGAGGTTCTGCCGTGGCCCATTTCCTCCAACAGCACTTCGGCCCCCGGGTGCAGATCGACGTGTTCGAGAAGGGGACTGTGGGCGGCCGCCTGGCAACCATCTCGGTCAACAAGCAGCACTACGAGAGTGGGGCCGCCTCCTTCCACTCCCTGAGCCTCCACATGCAGCAATTCGTCAAGCAGCTGGGTGAGTGCGCCATCCCGGGGCTCCAGCATCCAGCACCTAGGGCTGGAGGCAGCCATCGGACCCTTCCCAGATTACCCCGACAGTCAATCTCCTCATTTTACAGATGGAGCAGCTGAGAACAGAGTGGGGAAGGAACTTGCCTGAGGTTACACAGTGAGTTAGTTGCATAACTGGGATTAGAACTCAGATTTGACACCCCCCACCAGGCCAGTTTCTTTCCCTTTCAATTTGCGGCTTCTTAATAATCATAATCATAATGGCTTCCACACCCTGTGTGCTGGCCAGGTACCTGGCATCCTTCTAGGTGGTACATAGGCATTACCTCTAATCCTCCCTACCTGCCTGCACATGGTTGTTGTATCTCCTCCTGGGGAAACTATGGCTCAGGAACTGTATACGCCTCTTCTAAGGCCCTGTAGTTAATAAGTGAGAGAGCTGAGACTCAACCTGGCAGCATCTGTTAAAACCGCAAATACATATGCTATTGAATGCAGAAATTCTACTTCACAGAAGTGATCCCGCAGGTGCCCTTACAGATTTGCAGAGTGGCAGACACACAAGGTTATTCATTACAGTACTATTTGTAAAGCAAAAGGTTGAAAATATCCTCCCTGCCCACTGCAATCTGAGATTAAATAAAATATTGTTTAAGTACACAGCAGAGTGTTCAGCAGCCAGAGTGAGGAAGTCCTGTATGCCCAGGTTGAGCAAAAATCTCCAAGACACAGGTCAGTAAGGAGCAGAGCAGTGTATATAGAATGTCGGGGTGGGGGCAGGAATAACTCATAGATGTGGACACGAGGGTTTGCACAAAACATCTCTGGAAGGATGCAGAAGGAATGTACTTACTGGTTGCCTCAGGGTAGGGGAACCTTGTGCCTCAGGGCCAGGAATAGTAGGGAGAGAAATAGAAACCCATGACTTGGAGCAGGTCTTATAAACCTCGCTTTCCACATCTTTAACTGGGGGTGATAACACCTGTTCTGCTTTCCTCAGGCTGTGAGAGGATGATGAGAGACATGTAAGTCCCAGTGTTCCATAAGTCGTCGAGTGTGGATGGTTGCAAGGAGCTGTGATTCCTTCCATGTGGTCTTGGTGCCCAGGGCTCCCATCCCAGAGCAAGCCCTGTGGCTGTTAGCCCCTGGACATTCCAGGAGGACATCCAAATTTCCCTCACATGTAACCAAGTGGATCCCTGTTGAAAAAAAATGTAACATGGTACATTATTTTCAATTCTTTGTTGACTAACCAGGTCAGACTTCTTCCCAGTGCATGGTTTACTGTTTTTAAATAAGCATCAGAGAGGCACAAACCATAGCGTTCATATTCCTTCTAATGGAGCCAGTCCCTGTGCATCCTTCAGGAAGTCCCCGAGTTTAAGCTTCAGGCATTGCTGGGTCCCCCAGGGGGCCCTCTGAAGGGGACCTGAGACCTCCTTATCTCCTCAGGGCTGCGGCACCGGCGCGAGGTGGGAGGCAGGAGTGCCATCTTCAACGGGGAGAATTTCGTGCTGGAGGAAACTGACTGGTACCTGCTGAACCTCTTCCGCCTCTGGTGGCACTATGGCATCAGCTTCCTGAGGCTGCAGATGTGGGTGGAGGAGGTCATGGAGAAGTTCATGAGGTAGGGCTGGGCAGAGCCGTGGGGAGGGCATTCCAGAGGAAGAGAGGAAAAGAGGTGCCAAAGGAACCAACTTGACTATACACCAGTGAAAACGAAAAGGTCCTTGCCAGGTGTGAGCACCCAGCACAGTTCAGCCCAGGTTCTGGGCATGCCCTGTGTCAAGGAGGTACTTACTTGGTGCTGCAGTGGTTGGTCTCTGGTAGTGTCACATCCTCTTTCCCTCAGCTAAACTGGTAAATAAAAGCACGGGTTACAAACTCAGTTACCTATAAAGGCCCACCTGGCTTACAAATAGGTGAAGCAGTTGGGTGGAAGGGCAGGATAGGGGTTGGGGGGCCCTGGAGAGCAAGGCCCCATGTGAAGGGGCAGCCAGCTCTCTGCTCGAGCCAATTGTGGCCACGTGGAAATGCCAGCCTCACGTGGCTAGATTTTCCAGTGTGTCAGAAGAAGGTGGAAATCCAGAGTTATCTGTGAAATCTCCCAGTTTTTCAGTGTGGGCAATCAATTCCTCTTATGAAGCAAACAGAACATATCTGTAGGCCACAAATAGCCTTTGGGCCACCATTTACAAACTCTTCTGTCCCCCAGTACCATCTAGAACAAACACCTTTATCACCTGTCTCCTCCTTGGGTCCCAGCCCCTCCCCATCACCTCCAGATAATGAGGACAAGTGGTCTGTTGTCACCCTGTCCACCTCTCACAGTCCACTCACTCGCCAGGCTGGCATCCAGCACCCCCCTCCCAGAGTCCCTCCTGAAGTTTCTCCCTGTTTCCTGGCCCTGATGCAGAGGCTTCAGCATCAGACACTCAGACACTTCCTGGTTTCTGGCACTTCTCTGCTCTATCCACTCCCCTAACTGTGCTTTTCATGGCACTTCTTCCTTATATTCTCCCAGTGTCCCCCAAAGTTATGTCTTTACCCCTCTTTCTTCTTTCTTACATATTCCTCCCTTGTCAATTTTATCCAAACCTGGAGTGTCGAGTTCTCCCTTTCGTGGGAGACAACTTCTACCTATCAGCCCCAGTTTCCCCTTAAGTTTTAAACATACTAAGCAGTTTCTAACTGATCTCATGACACCTCTATCTGGGTGTCCTGTCAATAACCTAACTCAACACATATACAAAGCAGTTCAAACAGGAGCAACATTTCAAAGGCCAGCCGTCCGAAAGTCCGTCAGCAGATGGTTCCAGGCAATGCCAGTCCCTGAGATTGGAGGAGTTGTGGGGGAATGAGACATCAGCTCATTAGGGGGTGAGTGGGAACCCTGTCGGACTGAGCCAGGGTGGAAGACAGGCTGGGCTAGCAGAAAGGGTGACAGTTTTGGCATAAGGCAGCTGCCATCAGTACAATGTGGTCCTAGAAACCAGGGCAGAGCCGAAGCTACAGAGAGGTAATGTGTCAGTGGGGGTGCCAGGCCCACTGCTCGGCAGTTCCAGCTGAGTGAGGACTACGACCTCAGGCAGGGAGTGGCTCAGAGAGGGGACATGATTATCGTTCAGCAGAGCCACGATGTGAAGCCAGGTCTAATGGGATTCCAGAGTATTTGCCCTTCCTTCTGTGCTGTTCCTTTAGGGTGGCCAGTCCCACCACAGCCAGTGAACAGGCCAAGGGTACCATAACCAGCCTCCCCACCCCTGACATGGAGAGGAGGGGCTGGTCCCTGCTGGGCCCCAGGTACAGTGACCCAGTAGTGGGTGGTCAGCCGAAAAGGCCTTTCTGCACAAGGGCTGTGGCTCCACGTGTCTGCCAGGATCTATAAGTACCAGGCCCACGGTTATGCCTTCTCGGGTGTGGAGGAACTGCTCTACTCGCTGGGGGAGTCCGCCTTCGTCAACATGACCCAGCGCTCCGTGGCCGAGTCTCTGCTCCAGGTGGGCGTCACACAGCGCTTTATCGACGACGTCGTCTCCGCTGTCCTGCGGGCCAGCTATGGCCAGTCAGCCGCCATGCCCGCCTTTGCTGGTGAGCCTCCAGACCTCGGCCTGCCTGTCTGCCCTCTCTCAACTCTCCCCATAATGATTTCTCATTTACTCAGCTCAGTACAGTCAACTAAACAACACTGCCCCGCTGAGCTGGCAGGAGATGGTATTCACCCCATGGTGAAAGGGAGGCTCAGATCTCAGGTCCAGTGCTGTTTGGATCAGATTCAGGAGCTGCCCCATTGAGGCCTCTGGGCCCCAGGGGATTCATCTAATAGAGGACCTCATCTTCCCAGCTCATCACTGGGGCAGATGGGCACACACATCACCCACCATCCTCCAGCACAGGGCACACATCTGCCTGAGAGAGTCATCAGGGCTTGTCTTGCCCAAAGCATGGCAACTGTTCTGGGCCTTGAAAGTTGCAGTAGGATTTTGCTGGAGTGGTGAAGGGGCAGGGAGGGGCATTCAAGGTCGAGGAACTGCACGAGCACTCCCTGGTCTGCTTGGCTGAGTCCGTCTCCTCTCACGCCTCATAAGATGAATGGCTCAGCCTCAGTCCTTTGTCCTCTTCTCCCCTCAACTACTCACCCTCCCTGGTTGAGCTCAGCCAGTCTCAAGGCTTTAAATTCCTCCTACCTGATTCCCAAATATGACCTCCAGCCTAGACCTCCCTCCAGAACTGCAGGCTCCTGTGTCAGCTGCCACCCCTGTGTCTGCACTGGAAGGGCTAATGGGCATCTCAGACTCAGCAGGTCTAAACCTAAGCATCTGATCTTTCCCCCTGAGCCTGCCCCTCCCAGCATCTCCCCAGCTTGGCTCCTTTCACTTGCTCTGGCCAAAACCTTGAATCATTTCTTTCTCTCATATCCTTTATAAGATACGTCAGGAAATCCCATCTGCTTGACTTTCCACATCTATCCAGAATCTGACTGCTTCCTACCACTGCCTCTTGTCTGGTCTCAGCCCCCAGCATCCCTCACCTGGACTACTGCAAGTTTCCTACCAGGTCCCCCACCCGACCCCCTCAGCTCTTGTCAACACATCAGCCAGATGATCCTTTTATAATGAAAGACAGATCATGTCAGGCCTGTGTGTAAAACTGTAATGGCTCCTACTTTCCTTCAAGTAAAACCTAAAGTCCTTCCAGTGGCCTGCAAGGCCCTCCATGGTCGAGGCCTCACCACTCACCTTCCTCAGCTGAGCCACTCTGGCCTCACTGCCGTGTCTCCAGCCTTGCAGGTGCACTCCCACATTGGGGCTTTTGTGGTGTCATCCCTCTGCCTGGAACATCCTTCCCTGAAACATAATCATGGTAAACTCCTGCTCTCCCCTGTCTTGATGAAGATGTTGCCTTTTCATTGAAGCTGCCCTACCCCTCCAACCCCCAGCAGGCCCAGTCACCCTGCCCTGCTGGTATCATCTTCTAGCAAACTATTTAATCGACTTATTTTATCTCCTCCCACTAGAATGCTGCCTTCCCAGAGGGAGTCTCTGTCCCCTTTGTTTACTGATGTATCCCAGACACAACAGTGCCAACCATCATAGGCACTCAGCCCGTTTTTGTTGAATGAATGAAAAAGCCTTGTAATTAACAAGCACTTCCCATGTGCCCAGGATACTATTCCTCTGGCTCTTGGCACTGCTAGCTCCTTCCCACCCTACAGGTCCTGCCTGGCATCCCCTTAGCAAGACTACCCTGCTCATTCTTCCAGTATCTTGTGTGTATCCTTCAAAATATAATTCACATACCACACAGTTCTCGCATTTAAAGTGCAGGATTCAGTGCTTTCAGTATATTCACAGAGTTGTGCTTCCATCGCCACAATCAATTTTGGAAGCTTTTCACTGCCCCCAAAAGGAATCCCATACCTATAGCCCCATCCCTTTCTCAACGTCCCCCAGCTTTCCAGCCCTAGGCCCATGAATCTACTCTGTGTTTCTGTGGATTTGCCCATTCTGGGCAGTCTGTGTAAATAAAGTCATACAATCTGTGTTCTTTTATAGTAGTAGCTCTTGCACTGAGCATAATGTTTTTACTTCATAACACTATGAATTTTGTTGTATTTATTTGTGTGTATGTTGTCTCTCCGTGCCCGGGATTGGGAGGAGGCTTGGCCTGGGAGAAAGGCCCAGGTAGGATGGTGCTGGGCTCTGCAGAACCCACTGCCCATCCTCCCCTTTTGCTCAGGAGCCATGTCGCTAGCTGGGGCCCAAGGCAGCCTGTGGTCTGTGGAGGGAGGCAACAAGCTGGTTTGTTCCGGTCTGCTGAAGGTCACCAAGGCCAACGTGATCTACGCCACGGTGACCTCTGTTTCCCTGCAGCATACAGGTGAGGAGGCAGAGCTGGGGCTGCGGCCACTCCATTCCTGGACAGTTAACACTTCCACCTCCTCTGTCCTTAAACTCTGGTCTGAGACCTGCCAGGGAGTGGTTCCAAAAAAACCAGTGGGAAGCCCAGCACTGCCGAGTGACACCAGAGGGCACTGTTGTCCTGATTCCAATGTCAGAGCCAGAAAGCTGAGACTTGGATTAATCTAGCTCCTTTCATTTGAACACCCAGGACTTCAACCCACAGCTTTGCCCAAGTTCCCCCAGCTAGTCAGCAGCAGAGCTAGAGCAAGAGCTCGGATCTCCTGACTCCAGCCCAGGGCTTGACCTGCAGCTACACCAGCATGGCAAGACTGGGACCCACTATCTGGTCAGCCCAGCTGCACGCAGTGTCTCATCCCCTCACTGCTGGGCCCCAAATGGGAGACCAGTGGGTGGAAGCCAAGAAATCAGCTGACTGTTGTGTTTTCTTCACTCTTCTTCCAGAAGGGAAACCCTTGTACCACGTAGAGTATGAGAATGAGGCGGGCACGGGCTCCGACTACTACGACATAGTGGTCATCGCCACCCCTCTGCACCTGGACAACAGCAGCACCATCACCTTCGAAGGCTTCGACCCACCCATCGATGTTGTCCAGGGCTCTTTCCAGCCCACTGTCGTCTCCTTGGTCCACGGCTACCTCAACTCTTCCTACTTTGGCTTCCCTGACCCTAAGCTTTTCCCCTTCGCCAGCATCCTTACCACAGATTTCCCCAGCTTCTTCAGTGCTCTGGACAACATCTGCCCTGTCAATGTCTCCACCAGCTTCCGCCGGAAGCAGCCTCAGGAAGCAGCCGTTTGGCGCGTCCAGTCCCCTCAGCCCCTCTTCCGGTCCCAGCTGAAGACCCTCTTCCGCTCCTATTACTCGGTGCAGACAGCCGAGTGGCAGGCCCACCCCCTCCATGGCTCCCACACCACCCTCCCACGGTTTGCACTGCACGACCAGCTCTTCCACCTCAACGCCCTGGAGTGGGCAGCCAGCTCCGTGGAGGTGACGGCTGTCGCTGCCAAGAATGTGGCCCTGCTGGCTTACAACCGCTGGTACCAGGACCTAGATAAGATTGACCAAAAGGATTTGATGCACAAGGTGAAGACTGAACTGTGAGGGCTCCGGGAAGAGCAAGAAATGTCCAGCCCCTACTGAAAAAGGGTGCCCCCAACCAATAGCGGCCGCGGTTGTACAAGCCGCACTCACCCACCGAGCCCTTCTCTGACCCCTCGTGTATGGAGCATCCTTCTGACCTCTCATGTGTGGAGCATCTTTTCCCTTCAGTGTGGATCCTGGTGACCCACTCTCTGCCTCTCCATACGGATTCTCACAGTGGTTGCTTCTTTCAAAGGGGGAGAGTGAGAGAAGGCGAGGACATTCAAGCATATTCATTTTATTTATTTTTTTTAAGAAGAAATAAAAATCCATCTTAAGCTGATTTTGACTTGGTTTTCTAGCTAGGAGATAGGGATAACTATGGGAGGGAATATAAGGCAGAGAACTCGGAATCTATTGTTTTCCCCTGCCTACTCCCAAAACGTACCTGAGACAATACCTACAGTGAAACATAACCAGATGGTTGCAAATAGAGGGAAGATCAAAAGACATAAGACAGGATAATAGCTCCTGTTTACTGTAAGCTTGTTAGATGCCAGGTACCTACTTAAGCCTCTAAACAACACTGTGGTAGGAAGTGTTGGTTCCAAGGAAGAAATGGTTACCTCAGGGGAGCTGGAAACACAGCTTCAAACTTCCTGGCAACCAGTGGGAAAAAGGGAAACATACCAGGCCATAGGAAGAGGAAAGCTTTTCCTTGGTACCTGGAAGAATTGATCATTCTGTCCATTATGCAAGAATTGAGGAATAATACAGTGGACCTGTATAACTGGATCACTGTGCTGTACACCAGAAATTAACACAACATTGTAAACTGACTATACTTCAATTAAAAAAAAGTTATGTAAAATAAAATACATATAGAATAGGGCATGTGTATGTACATTTCATTCACATATATGTATACCAAAACATACATTTAATTTAAAAGTTTTAAAATTTAAAAAATACAATGGATCTGTCTTACAAGAAGACAAGTTCCCAGCTGGTGGAAGGCAGCTGTACCTCACACCCCCAAACATTCACCCCACAAGAGGAAAGGGAGAAAAGAAGTTGGGGATGGAGTTTTTTGGAGGTTAACCTCTATGACAAGTTCCATCCAGACCTGCTAAACCTGGCTGGGGTGAGGGCCCAGATACCCAGGCAGATACAACACTGCCAAATGACATTGATATTGTGAATTCCTAACGGGAACAGCCCCAGAGATCATCCAACTGACTTCCCTCTCTTTGTAGAGATAGAGACAAAAGCCCAAAGTAAGAGAATTTGCCCAAGGTCTCCTGGCAAGTCCACAGAACACAGCTTAAATCTGGAGTTTCTCCTTAAAATCAATTGAATTCAGCATGGGCAAAATACCCTTCAAGTAGGTGGAGTCCCAAATTGTCTTTGAAGTTGTTACTATGCGTAGGTGATGGCAGTGGTAATGAAAGAGAGGCTGCCTTTAAAGTGTGAGTAGCAAGCACTTGGTCATTACAGGAAATTGTTTGCAGTAGTAGAAAATAAAACTCAAACTAGCTTAAGCAATAAAAGGGTCTTTTGGTTATCACAAAAGTCCACGCACATGGCAGGCACCGAACACTGCAATGCCAGTGTCATTACTTCTTATGATCAGAGATGGCTGGCAACAGCTCCCAGGGCCAGGGGCCCTTCTCCCACAACCCCTGAACCAAAGTCTGGGCTCGGGGCCAACTGGGCCCTTTATTTAACCAATCCCTATGACCAAGAGAATGCCACATGCTGACTTGCTTAGGACTCAGCTACCAGACCAGTAATGGATGCAGGCGCTAAGAGTAAACTGACTGTCTTAGAATAGTCAGGCCCCACCCTGGGGGCAAAAGGGGTCTCACCTAAACTACAAGATTAGAGGGGCAGAAAGGTATTAGAGACAGGCACGATGTCAACCAGACGCCAGGTGGGGCTGTGCCCTCCCTCTTCTTTCAGGTCCAGGGAAATCAATGTGTAATGGCCTCTTTTCATGGCCTGTGTTTGAAATGAAGATGCCACGGGCTGTCATGATGTAACTGATGATCACTGGTATTGGGCCAGAGGACCAAGGCCAATGCCAGAATTGTCCCTAATAACCATACCTCCCTTGCATCCCTAAGGATGGTTGCACAGAAGGAGCAAACCAGGGCAGATAAACTTGATCTTCAGCTGGGCTGCAATGGAGCTGGCTGGTCCTTCAGAAGCTTCCTTTATGCCGGTACGCAGGCCTGAACAGCTCAGGACAAAAGCAAGCCAAAATGCCCACGCTGCCTGCTTCTGCAGGCCTGAACCTGAGAGCTGGATCCTACCACTTCTCTGCCTGCAAGGGAAGGCCAGCGATTCCTGAAGGCAGCAGAAGGCAGCATGGGAACCAGCAGGCCCAAGGTCCCAACCTAGCCTTCTCATCCCAGGAAAGAAGCCCCCAAGGGCCCAGCACTCTCTGGGAGAGGAGAGAGAATCTGCAAAGACAGAGAGAGCCCTACAATCTGCCAAACAAAATGGGAGAGAGACCACACCACCTCTGCAGTCCTGGGTGCAGTGTCATAGACATTTAAAACTCCACCCCTAGACTCCCCCTCTAGAGCAGGTGACCCAAGAAAAATTTCAGCACTTTGTTGGGAGCGGGGCTGTGGAGGGTAGAGTTGGGAGTGGGTGAGGAATAGTGGGAGAGAGAGGAATGCCTTGCTCCTGACCCACTTTTGAAGGAGCAACAGGAGCTAGGGGCAGATCATGGGCTCCCCCTAGAGGCTTCTGTGTGTGCATGCCTGCATGCATTCATTCATTCACCAAGCCCTGCACCCCTATTCTGCACTGGGCACTGTGCTAGGTGTCAGAGATGCAGGGCTGAAGGAGGTAGATGAGGCCTCTCTTCTCATGGACTGGGGGTTTCTCACCAGACAGTGGAAAACATGAAACCCATTTAGACTCACCAAAGAAGGTTCCCAGGTGCGGTGCAGACCTGGCTCTCCAAAGGTCCTGAACTCCCTGGTGCCGCCTTTGAACCAGGGGACCGGGAAGGGCCAGCTGCCAGCCCAAGCTCCTGAGGCCAAGTTCCTAAGTCACAGAATGGTAAAACCTAACTCCCATCTGCTCCTTTCACAGATGAGAAAACTGAAGCCCAGAAAGAGGAACGTCACATAAAACTAACAGGAACTTGTTGAGCATCTCTGTGTGTCTGATGCTCTGGAAGGAAGAGAACAGGTGGTCCAACCCAGATGAGGAGTTTTCCCACCCAATCTCTATGCCCCAGACACCTGGGGGGCCCTCACCCCACAAAAAAACCTTGGAGGCCATGGGTCCCTTGTGTGCAGCTGAAGTCTTACGGCCTGGAGAGCAGGGCCTCACAGAAGAGCAATCCACCCCCGCACAGGGAGGAGAAGCAGCCACTGAAGGCATCAGTATGGGCTGGCACATGAAGTCTATTTTCCATGTCTGGAACCAGGCCGGAGCTTCCTAGGGTAATTTTAACCAGTATCCACTCTAGAACAATACCAAAAAAGGTAAGTTACTTGCCAGCCCAGACAGGCACATACCTAACCCTTTCATGAATTAAACCCTGAAAACATTCAGAACTAAAGCTGCTTTAGGCACTGAAGTTACAGCAGCCAAGCAAAGTATTCCTATACTGGCTGCTGGCCCTGTTACTGAAGTTAACTCTAAAGTGCCAGCTATTCTTACCTTTAGAGAACAGCCTGAGCCCCTCAGCTGTCTTGGGGAGGGAAGGTATTTTTAGCCCCTAGAACAGCTGATTTAGGATTTGCTGCAGAGGCTAGGAGGGCAGGGGAGGATTGAATTGCAAGGGGCTAATGGGGGGGGGTGTTAGCATCCAGGGGTCAGGGGCCAGCAGGAGCTTTAGGACAAGTCTGTCCACACTGCCATTTTGATCAGCAAAGGGTCTTGACATAAGCCAGCAATTCTTAAAGTGTGGTTCCCAGACCAAAGTGTCATTCCCAGATCAGCATCACCTGGGAACCACTGCATCACAAAGGTGAAGTCTTAGCCCCTATCTACTGACTCAGAACCTCTGTGTGTGGGGCTCAACGATCTGTGTTTTAACAAGCCCAGGGGATTCTGGTGCTAGTAAAGTTTGAGAACCACTGATATCAGCAAATCATCTAACCAGATCCCCTTGTGGATAAGTCTGGGTGAAAGAATGATTTGCACTGATGTTCTCAATACTTGAGAGTTCAAAGCCAGGGGTCTCCAGCCCAGAAAGATACACTCACATGAAAATTTATGTGCTCACTGGCCCAGGTTAAAAAACCCTGCTTTTTGACAACACAGAGGCGCTCCTCTGGATATAAATTTGACCTGTAGAGAATCTCAGAGTTGAAAGAGACCATGTAGATCATCTATTCCACCCAGAGGAAGAATCTGTTCAATATTCTTGAGAGGCTCAGCCTTAACTGGACCCTTCCAGAGACAGGGAGCTCACCACTTCTAAAGGGCCTGTTTGCAATGGCCCTTGACTTAACTGGAGGAGAATCAGCTCTTGTTCACTCCTAGATAGGTTTATACCAACCAAGCTCCAATAACATGGCTGAAATATAGCCTTATAAACGCAAATTAAAGGAAGTCTCTGACTGTCCTAAATGATAGGAATGAATGCAGTATTTTTGTAATAACCTACTGCAGTGTTGGAAAACTCTGAGTGATGGAAAAATCCTCCTTCACACTGATCAAAATCTACCTCCCACCCATGTTTTGGCTTCAGAGCCACAAGGAGCAAACCCAAAGTCTTGCTTTACAAAAGACAGCCTTTACTTTCCATTGCCTTGCTTGGCATGGGGGTGCAGGAAGGGCTGTCTCAGAAGATGCAGGTACAGCCCACAGCGATGGTCTCCATGACAGCGCGCTGGCGGCAGGGCCCGGTGCGCGGCGGCAACGGGCAGAGGCGGCGGCGCACTGGCACCTGGCTGAACACGGGCACGCTCACCATGCTGCGGTCCTCCTGCATGGTGAAAGGGTTCACGCAGCCCAGACAGAGACACCGTGCCTCCGGCAGGTCCGCAGGGATGCGGCTGGGGTCATGGTTAATACTGCAGGAAGGCAGGAGAGAGTGCGTGGCAGAAGGTGGTGGGAAAAACAAACCAGCACCCATTCCCCATGTCCCTCCCTTTCCTAACCCAGGTTTTGATTCCACAGCAAGACTGTGCCATGCTGGAGGAACAGCAGTCATCAACTCTGTGTCGTAGGTGACGACTAAAGATCTTGGAAGGCAAGTCACCACCCCAAGGTTATCCAGATTCAAGGTCACCAGCTACCCAGTTTCTTCCTTTCATCAAGCAAGATGACCAGCCCATTACTAGATTGTACCATGGGATCTCAAGAAGCCTAAGCCTCTGTCTTCCCCGTCCCTCTCACTTGTTTATATTTTTGGGAAACTTAATACACTGGAAATAATAAGTGAGCATATCGATGCCTAACCCCACAGGAAGAGGAGTCAGGGGATGTGGGTTTATTCTGACTTAGTTTCTCTTTATTCAGCAAGTATTTTCCACACACCACCATGTGAGTGAGTCTGTTGTCCTGGACACTAGATGGTCACTGAGGGACAACACAGATGAGTTCCCTCCCAGAGCTGAGAGTACAGAGACTCACTCTGTGACTTTTCTTTCTCTGTGCCTCAGTGTCCCCATCTGCTAAATATTGGGGGTGAACTTGACTTGTGGACCTGCAACATCAGCCTCGCCTGAGAGCTTGTTAGAAATGCAGAATCTCTCCCTGCCCTAGACCTCCTGAATCAGAACCTGCATACTTATAAGATCCTCAAGAAAGTCAAGGACATAGTAAAGTAGAAGCCCAGATTCAGAGGATCCTTATTACAAGTGCCACATTCTAGGTGTGGGAGCCACTAGCCATATGTGGCTGTTTGAGTTTAATCAAAATTGGCTCCTCAGTCACACTAGCCATATTCAGTAGCCACATGAGGCCAGCAGCTACCATACTGGACTTTTTACACGGCCACAGAAAGTTCTACTGAACATTGCTGTTCTACAGTCTCAGGACATAAGTATGTGGCTAAAAATCTTTGGCTTGGGTTCATGAGTTCAGGGTCAGTCCTCTGCATTATTTTTTCAACACATGTACACGTGGCCCCTGCTGTGTGCCAGGTGCTGTGCTGGGAAGTGGAGCTTCAGCCAAGGTAAGACACCACTCTTGTCCCCTAAGGGCAGCAGGTCTTGATTCTCAGGCCTAGCTGTGTGGAGATACATTGAAGTGCCACTTTCTGGGCCTCACCCCTGGAGATTTTGATTGAATGGGGCATGAGAATCCCTTAGATGATTCTGATGCAGGCATTGGCATGGTCCCAGTCTAGCATGGGAGACAGATGTGCACACAGCTAACTCAATACTGCCTGGAAGTGCTGTAACTAGAGGTGTGTACAAGGCACTCTAAGCTGGAGGACGTAACATTTGGGAAGGCCTTGCAGGCATTTCATCAGAGACTTGAAGAACATAATGGCAGGGCTCTGTGTGGATATCTCATTTACTGACAAGCCTATGACATAGATGCTACTGTCACCTCCACTTACAGTTGAGGAGTCTGAGGCCCAGAGAGGCTAAGCAACTTGACCAAAGTCACACATCCAGTAAGAAGCAGAGCCAGGATGCAACCCAGGGCTCTGAATCCAAGGTCTTAACTCTTATGATGACAGGGAGAGGGGGCAAGACATTCCCCCAGCCTCCAACACACAGCTTACCCACTGCTGCCCAGCGTGGCCTACCTGTAGCCCCAGGGTGACAGGCTCCTCTTGTTGGACAGCCACAGCTGCAGGTTGACTTCACACTTCTTCCTGGCCGGCTCGGAGCTGTTCCTAAGCTGAGCCACCATCTCCCCAAGGTTCCTCTCATATTCCTCCATGCGGGCATATGGCTTTGCCTGGGACACCAGGTCCAGTGGCACCTGGTGAGGCCCAGGGGCCAGGGTCCCAGGCCGCCCTGGCCCCTTCCTCTTGCCTTTGGGGTTCCTGGGCTGGCCCAGACCCAGGAAGATAGAGATGGTGAGAAGGAACAGCTGGGGAAGAAAGCCACAGGTCAAAGTTAGGAAACCCAGGTCTCCTTCTGGGCTAAGATTCAGGGCCCAAGGAGTGGGGAGGGAAGAAGACAGGCCTCTAGGAGAGGCATGCTCACCTGCCATGCCCTGGCCTGGTCCCACCAGCCCACCTCTCATATATATTGACATGTACACACCACACTCATCGTTAACTCCTGTTGCACTCTGAAAAATCTCCCCACCCATCCACTTCTCTATCTGCACCACCAGCCTCACTTTCCTGGACAGCTTAACAGGCTCCTGCCTGGTACCCCACCTCCCCCCTGGCTCCTTCCAATCAATTCTCCACACCTTGGCCAAGGACGGCTGTTTGAAATGCAAATCTGATAGCATCACCTTCCCAGGCCTGACTTCCCTCTGCAAATCCCTCCTGGCTTCCTCCCACACCCATGTATTAGCCTGGGTCCTTCCCTAACACCCTTCTTTCCTCACACTCCTTCCTGCACAGGGACTTTGTACAGGCCGCTCTCTGCAGTGTCCTGCCTCTCACCCCTCAAGTCTTGGCTCCAGTGTGACTTCTTTAGTGATGCCTCCATGGACCTTCTTGGGCTCTCAACACCACATGCCTCTTGTATGACTGCTGTCTTAACAATTTGGACGCGTGATTCTTTTATATGTCAGTCCTGCACTAAGCACAGCCTCCATGAGGGTCAGCATGGTGTCCATCTCCACACACTGTCTTGTTCCCCTGTGTCTGCATAGAACTGAGCACATATGTGTTCAGTAACCATGTGCTGAGTGAATGAACGCCTGTCAGCATCCCTGCCTTCCTGTAACTTACAGTGTGGCAAGGAAAACAGACAGTGAACGAGAAAGCAAGCACCTAAGCCTCGCTGGCAGCAAGTGTGAGGATAGGACCGTGCAGTGTGTGGTTAGAGAAGAGCAGGGCCACCTGCTCAGCCTGGTGGCAGTGAGGGGTCTTGCAAAGCCTTCCTGAGGAGGGGGCATGTCTGGAGATCTTTGACGGAGCTAAGACGGAGACAGATGTGGGCAGAGGGAGCCTAAAAATTGTACGGGGGTGGGGAAGGAACAGCATGAAAGGAAGTTTTTGTTGGTTAAGAGCTTTGCCAAAAGGAATAAGTCAGGCTGAAATAGAGTAGATGGGAAGAGGATGAAGGATGAAGTCGGGGAGACGGGCAGGTCATGGCCAAGGATCCTTGTTGGACTCCATGACACCTATGCCCTCTTCCTCCACACCCTGACCCTCTGGCTGCCTGATCCCTTGTCCACTCTCAGCTGCTGCCATCCACCTCTCCCCCTAGAACTGGGAGCATCAGGAAAGCCTCTTACACAGGAGAGGACCTGGGGGCCCAGCAGTACGCAGACTCCTCAGGAAGCCAGGAGTGAAGGGCCAGGACTTGGGTGGAGGCCAGGGCTGTTCAGAAAGGAGGATCCTCTAGGGGGAATTCTGTCTCCTCACTGAATCTAGCCAGGCTCCCACTTGCCCTGGATCCCTAACCCTAACCGCCGCACAGCCCACACTGATCTCTTCAGCCTTCCCTTGCTGAATCTAGCCAGGCTCCCACTTGCCCTGGATCCCTAACCCTAAACCCCGCACGGCCCACGCTGATCTCTCCAGACTATCTAGCCAGTCTTGACCCTTGGATACAAGTTTCAGCAGAGCCCCTCTTGGCAGAACTATTTCTTGGTGCAAAATCCATGACAGATTCAAATCGCTGAATTCTTCCTTTTTGGTCCTAGGTTCTGGTGCAGACAAACTTCTCCCTAACAATAGGCTTTCTCATCTGAGCTTCTTACATGGCATTCTTAAACTCAGAGAAACCCAAAATAGAATCAGTCTCCCTCCTTCCCTTTATAGATGGGAACAGAGAAACAGAAGGACTTGCCCAAGGTTACACAGCCTGGATCTCAGGACCCAGAAATTCTTTGGAAAAACCCCGATAACCAAGTTTGCCAGGATCTCCCCAGATGCCTTTGGCCTAAAAGAGCTTCAGTGTAGCAGGGCTGAGCTTCAGTGTAGCAGGGCTGAGCTCCATTCAGGAGCTGGAGCTACTGGCCATGGCTGCAGGCTCTGAGACCAGTCTCTGTTTCTTTCTCGTCCTGAGGGAGAAGACAGAGGGAGAACTCGCCTCTGCAGATTCCAAGCCAAACAGAGGCTGCCATTAATCAATAGGAAAGAAGTAACAAAACTCAGGCCCTAAAAAGGAGTGGGGGGTGGGGTGGGGAATCGCCACGTACCAGGTTGTGCAGCCAGTCCATCCTGTGAGCCAGGCGACCAGCCTGCAGCTGCCGCCCGCCTGGAACCCCAGATGCCTCCGCCAAGAGAATGGCAGCAACAGGATGGAGTGAAGCAATTATAGCTCGTCAGGGGGCTGCTGGGGGAGTGGGTGGGTGGGCTCATCATTGCCCGGGCGCCTTGGGCCCCAGCTGGCTGGACCTGGCGCAGTGGCAGACGGTGAGGGCCGTGGGGGCAGGCCAGGAGCCGGGCCGAGGTGCCCAGGGGCTGTTGACTGAGGGACAATGCCCTGTGTGTCTGGTGGGGCTCTGGCGGGTGGCACCTCCGCCTGTGGCCTGCGGCCGGCCGCCCAGCCAGCACCCACAGGGCCGGCTAAGACAATCAGCTTCGTCAGTTTGGGGGATGGCAAGGGGGCAAGGGCGGAGGAGGGACAGGCTGTCCGTTGGTCAGGAGAGCAAATGTTCTCAGAGCGTGCTGGCCAGGAGCGGGACACAGGCCCCATCTCCCAGGGAAACAGCCTCAGGCTCTCTGGCCTCAGCCAGCCTCAGGTGAGCTAAGCGGCCCTCGGTGACCAGAGTCCCACCCTTAGTTCACAGGCAGGGAAACTGAGGCCAGAACGAAGAAGGGACTTGTCTAGGATTATACGACAAATTAGAGGTGACAGAGCCGGGATTCATACCGAGTCCCATGCAGGGCTTTATCCACCACCCTACACTGTTTTTCTTGGCATATTTTCTGCAGAGTTCTGGCCTGCTGTGAACATGTTTCTGAATCTGCGTGCTCTCATGCAGGCCAAGTCACAGGTCCATGAGGACTTGATGACTGGTTGTCCTGATCTTTCAGATGCAGCCTTCCCCTTCCTGTATAGAAGGTCTCTGCCCCAAGGGCCTGCCCCTGTGACTTCCATTCTCTCTCAGACTCAGGTTCCTTCTCTGTAAAATAGGAGTCATGGCCAAGAAGTGACAGTAGCCTAAACCGTTTCTCCCTGAAATCCTTCTGAACCTCGGCTCCCCCATCTCTAGAACGGGGATGCCATAGGATCCATCTCTTGGGGCTGTTACGAGGAGTAAGGGGAAAAACCTATGTTAAACAGCTGGCACTGTGCCTGGCACGTAGTAGGTGCTCAATTAACACAGCTGTTTATTATGAAAATTATCATTGTAAAATAATTGTATCATTGTTATCTGTAAATGTTAGCTGTTCCAATTAGCATTAGAGCTAGCTCAGTTCTCACTGCTCAGCGAACTCTCCTTTCTACCCCTTGGGCCCACCCTCCTGGCTGAGAGAGCTCTGGGCTTCACAGGGTCTGGCCACAATTTTGTGAGCTCAGGTGACCCCAGGGTCTATGTGTCCTGGAATCATACGCTGACCAGACCAGGCCTGCTGGTCTCGGTCTCTTACCCCAAGTCCACCTGGAGAGACGGAAGACTGCGTGGAAGGGATGTGAAGAGGATAGGGGAGGGATACCATGAACAGACCCCTAGGACTGTACCGTCTTGCTCAGGGCCACTCTTGGCCATTTACAGGAATCGGCCAAGGGGAAGAACGCAGGGTGTGAGGCGCTCCTGAATGTCACAAGATTAATCTGTCCAGGGCAGGTTTCCACAGCATAACTGAGAAGCTGGCTGAGGCTTGAGCTCATGAAAGATACCACCATATTTGGTCAAATACTAGACAGGGCTCTATTCTATCGTTGGAAACTCCAGAGGGAGGGGGACTCTGAAAATACCTCCTCAAGCAACAAGGGCCCCCTCTCCCACCCCAGGCTGTCCCAGCCCCTCCACCACTGTCCTCTGAGCATGTCAAACAAGCATGAGGGGGCGAAGGATGGAGCAACCTGGTTATAATCTGTGCAGCCTCCTTGCTGCCCCTCTGTTGCTGCTGGCAGTAGGGTCTGACAGACATGCAGCTGGGGGGCCCCTCCCTATATCCACAGAAAAGTGGGGAAATTAAAAGATAGGGCCTGGGCTGCAAGGGGTTCCTCTGCTTCTCAGGACCCCTGACACCACCACTATCTCCTTATCTGCTGGCAGCACACACCCCTGGCTCCCATTTCCCAAAGACGAGACTTGGCCTCCTCGGCTCCCAACTTCAGTACTTGTTTATATAGATTCCAGGGTTCCGGCCCCGGAGTTCTGACAGAGCAGGCCCAGGAGTCTGTACCTTAACAAGGACCCAGTCTAGGAGCTACAGGGGTCCTCACCCACCACTTAGCTCATTCCCTGCCCAGCCCCCACTCTACCATAAGGAGCCCAAGACCGGGGGAGGAACAGGCCTGACTCAAGCTCACACAGCATGTTGGTGTAGAGCTGGGTTTGAGCACAATTCAGTCTCCTAGTTCTTACTACTCTTCCCCAAAACTTTATGCATACATCTCTGGGCCTCTTTGCTGGTCAAGAGGGGACCCAGGGGCCAGGCCAGGCCCTCTGGGAGTCCCAGAGGCCTCAATGTGAAGGGGGTGTCTGTGGGTACCCAGGCAGGTGCTGTGCAGAGTCAAGGAGGGCCCCAGTGACCATCACTGGGTTTCCCATTCCTGGGCCATCTCAGGCCAGGAAGGAGGCCTCTCCTTCCAGCCTTGGTTTCTAGAAAACACTGAGGGGTCATCTGCCCCGCAGGATATCCTGAGTGTGAACCCTGGCCAACCACCAAGGGACCCTACCCACCCCCAGGTCAGAGCCAGGCCTGAGGTTGGTGTGGGAACTTGGGCTTCAGGGGTTTCTGCCCCACAGCAGAGTTGAGGAATGGAGAAGGTGGTCAGTACAGGTTAATGAGGGAAGGGGCAAATGGACGGGAGAGTGAGGGGCAGGGATTGGTCGTGCTCAGAGCCACCAGATCCTGCGGCTGCCATACAGCTCTGAGCCATTGTGTACTCACCACCAGGTGGCACCACCAGAAAGCCAGACATCCCTGAGGAACAGGCAAACCCTGGCAGAACTTCCAAGCCAGCCACTCCTTTTCCCTGGAATGGGCCCTGAGCTGAAAATGAGGGAACCAGGTAAGTACGTAAAGGTCCTGTGTCTGCCCCTGGCTGCCTGAGCAACTCTATTATTGATGAGGACCAGCGCCTGGGACACCTTCCACAGCAGAGCAGGAACAGCATAGCCAGATAGGAGTGAGGGAGCAAGGGTGGGGTGAGGGCTTCTGTCTGCTGTGTGATTGAATCCCTTCACCTGAAGCACCTACTACGAGCTAGGCCCTAGCCATCTAGTACACGGATACCGTAATTTCCAGAAAATTACAATGGGCAATCATAATAGCCGTTTCTTAATATCTACTACTGACTGCCAGGCACTGCACTAAGTCCTTCATGTTCATTGCTTCATTAAATCTTCCCAAACACCCTGTGGTGAGGTCCTAAATTTATCCCAAATCCACAGGTGGAGGAACTGAGGCTCAGAAAGACCAAAGTCACAGAGGATTCAAAGTGAGTTTGTCTGATTCCCTGCAGTGGAGGAAGGAGAGGAGAATTACAGCCATGGGGGGAAGCCAGAATGTCCAACTGGTCAGCTGGTCATCCAGGAGGGTCTAGGCTTGCCTCAGCCTCACCCTGACATCCTCAAACAAAGCAGACTCTGTATGCTGGGGAAGTCACTGAGCCCAAGCCCAAACTACAGTCCTCAAGAGGAGCTGAGAGCTCCCAGGGTGTGGGCATGACACCCAGCAATGTTCCTGGCACATAGGGGGCATTCACTAAATACCTGATGCACTGAATCAAACTGCTTATATGGATGTAATACAGGGTGATAACGCTTGCATGGAGGATGGGAGGCCAGAGTAGTGGGGATCCGGAGGAGAAGGTGCAGACTAGGAGGTAAGAGTTCAGACTCCAGAGACAGACAGACCTGAGCTTTAGTCCAGCCTCTACCAGTTCACAACTGTGTGACCTTGGGAAAGTTACTTGACTTCTCTGAGCCTTAGTTTCTACTGCACAGTAGAGATAATAGTAACTTGGGCTTCAGTGGATGGTTGTGGGGACCAAACAAGATAATGCATGTTAAAGCACTTAGCAGAACACCTGACAAAAGTAAGCACTCAATTAGTGGCAGCTGCAATTGTCACTATAATTGTTGCAAGTTTTGAGTTGGACCTTCAAAAGGATACTTCTGGAGTATTCCTAGGTAGGAAGAGCACTGTGAGGTGGTGACTAGGATCGAACCAGTAAAGAATGCAGAGGTCCCTGTTCCCAGTGGACTCACTCTGGAGCCTTGGCTGGGCCAGAAGACCTATGGGATTTGGTGTAAAAATTTGCCCAAGTGGACCCAATAAGTTTAGGGGAGGCAGAAGGAGACTAGCAGGCGCCTTTGCTGCAAGATGGAGTGGGGCTGTGGCCAGGAGGGCGCATCCTCCACTGGAGGTCTTGGCTCTCCTGCCGCGCTGCCCACCCCAGCCCCCACCCTCTCAGGGTAGGAGTCCTTCTCCCAGGCCCATATTTGCACAAATGCCTCCCTCACTGCGTGCTCCAGAGCCCCAGCCAAGAGGCACTATTTTAAGCTCCCTGGACGGGAACACTGTTGGTGGGAACAGACTCAGCCAGTAAGCTCCCAGTTCTCAAAAAGGGCAAGGCCTGGGTGAATGGGCGGCCACTGGGATGTACAGAGGGGATGCCACATCTACATGACCCTCTGCCCAGGCCAGGCGCCAATGCCTCTGCCCCCAGAGGGGGAGTCAAGGAAATGCGAGTTTGGGTAGGACTCCAAGAGGTGGGCTTGTGCTCTGGGACTGGGTGGCCGAGGCTTCCCTTCTGCCCAGAGTCCAGCCTTGAAAACACTAATTTGTGTTTCTGGGTTGCAGATGGACCCTGGGAGAGATCATGTGTAGCCCCTCTCAGTATAGGAATCCCTTCTAAAGCATCTTTGCTAGACACTTCCAACGTAAGGAATCAATTTCTCTGAGGACATACATTTCACTTTTTAAAGCTCTCTTTGTTGAAAATAATCATTATAACAATAAAAGTTTTCTCTTTCATTATGCTGAAGTTCCTTCCTGGCATGCAGTGCGGTGTGGTGGGAGATTGCAGACCTCAGAAATGGTGGTTGGACATTTGCTCTGCCTCTTCTCATGTGGCCACATCCATTTTTCCTAACCTCAGTGAGCCTCAGTGTCTTCACAGGGTTGTTAAAATGCCTTTATCATAAAAACTGTGATTTTTCTGGCACACGATGTGTACTTAATATTTAGCCAGTTTGGGTTGTTTTTATTGTAATTTAGTTGGTTTGTGTGTACCTGTGTTTGTTGTATGGTGTTTCTGTGGTGTATGTGCTATTTTTGCTTTTTGATTGTGAAGAACTGGTAGAGACTAATATTTAAAGCACAGACTTTGAACTGAAGTGACTGGACCCTTGCCTCTCCACGAAACAGCTGGGTCACCTTGGGCAAGTGGCCTAACTTCTCTGAGCCTATGTGTCCTCCTCAAGAGGAGGAGGAATTAACAAGATAACACAGGTAAAGCACCTGGCACAGTGTGGGCTCCGGGAATGGCGCTGCTGTTATCTTGCTGTACACATTATTCTTAGCTCTGCTCAATCAGGCCGCACTGAACAATTCTAGAACTGCTCTTTTTCTGGAACTTTCCAGCTCCCAGAGTCCCAGTAATGGAATGGCTGCTCTGGGAAAGAGTGAGTTCCCAAGTAGTGGAGGGGTTTTAGCAGAGGCCAGAAGGCCAGTTGTGAAGGAGACTGAAGAAAAGGAGCGAGTTGGGCTTATTGAGCTTTAAAAAGTTCCCTTCTACCCTGAGAGGTGGAATCTTATATCCAAGGCCTCAGGCCCCCATGTGGGGCTGTCCTGCCTGCCTCTACTTGCCCAGACCTAGACAGGAAGGAGCCCAAGGGGGCCCACGAGGCATGTGGAATAAACAGCCTGTCCCCAGGGCAGATGGAGGTGCTGGGCCCCTTGCCCACCAGCATATCCTCCCTTAGTCCCGGGGGATGTTTATACTCTGGTCAGAGTTTACAGGACGTCTGGACTTACAAGATCCAGAGTTCTGATTTTTCCCCACAAAGCTGTCAGCCCCTCCTCTTGCTGGGTCTGCATCTATTTTGGGTGGGAAGCCCCATTCTCCAGCGGAAGCAGGAAAAGGGTACAACATGAGAAATGTTGTCTTCAGACCCCTGGAGCCCAGACCCCAGGGGAGGAAGAACCTTGTGCTGTGGGCGAAAGGGGGTGGAGTCTCTTGGCAGTTTATGGAAGAGCAGTCCTGGGAGGGAGAGGCTGGGGGAGGGAGGACACTTCCTTTGCAGCTTGGGTTCAAAGGCCTGCTCCCCAACACAGCTGAAAAAGGATGATACTTACCAAAGTTTGACTTACACGTTGGTTTCTGCTATTGGCTCAGATAGTACTGCTTTTATTGCTCTGGTTTTGGTGTGTATCTGCGTGACTGCAGATTTGTAGATGGGGTCTTGTACGTGTGTGTTTTGTTTTGTTATCGTTTTGAAGGGTCACTAGGCGGAAGCTTCTCATAGGCAGTGAGCATGCCTTATTCACACACATGCTTCTTGGTGCCTGGCTTGGGTGCCTGAGCCCTGTTATGACCAGGGCACGAGCTGCCGAGAGAACAGAGAAACGCTGAGCACTACTCACCATCCACCACTTGGTGGACACACAGTGACTCTAAGATTTATCACATCACTCTTCAGCAAGGAACCCTGATGGCCACCGCCAAAGTCCCCGTCCTCATCTTGCCTCCCTCCAAGAAAACAGCCTCCAAAACTTACAGGCTCTTAGGGCTGCACTGAACCCCAAACCAGGCCTCCCTGAAGAAGCTTGTCTCTGTGGCCTGAACCTGTTAGCAGACGATATTGAGAAGCTGCCCTAGATGGTAATTTAAATAACTTGCCTGAGAGCCTCTGTAATTTTCTAGGAGCTGTGATCTTCAAGTTATGGGCAATGAAGAGCCTTGAGAGTTCTCGAGACGGGTTCATTCCCTTCATTTAACAAACATATACTGAGCACCTACTATGCACCAGGCACTGTTCTAGGCACTGGGCATACAGCAGTGAACAGTGAAACAATTCCTGAGCTCATGTTCTCATACAGAATGATGGAGGTAACAGTATCGACATTTTAGGGCCATTTTAGGGCTCTTTCTGGGCCCCTCTGCTCTCAGTCTCCTGTATCTCCTGCATCCCTGGGAACTGCCACATCTCCTGGGAAGCCCTTGACCTCAGCCCTTGGGGCATGTGGAGGAAGGTACAATGCTTCCAGAATGTGAAATCTTGCCAGATTTAAATTGGAAGTTCTGTTCTCATAAATACTGTATTTGTGGAGAAGGAGGAAGAAGTGCCTTGTATGGAATCTGACCATTTCCAAAGTCTGGTTCCCAGGAAAGAAGCCTTGATCATTGTTCTACTGTTAGAAGACAGCTTCAAAGTTTCTGGCCCTCAGAGAGAGAGGCGGCCCAGCCCTAGGACCCAGGCAGATGCTGTGAGTAGTTGCCTAGTGGTACCAGTGATATCCCTCATACACTGATGGAACACGACAGTTTACAAAGCACATTTATATCCTTGAATTTATTTACTCCCTGCATCAATCCCATGTAAATACAAAGATTTTTACAAAACTGGACAAACTGAGGTTCGGGGAAGGGAATTAACCTGCCCATGTCTATACAGACAGGGGAAAAGGGACAGAGGTTGAGATGAAAGGTGAGGCCTCTGAGGCCACTTTGACCACCGCCCCACCCTAACCTTTCCCCAGTTAGGGAATGGGGCACTGGAACTAGGCAGTGGTGGGAGGTGGGCATCCTGTCATTAGGCAGTGCGCACAGAGCGCCTAAAGCCATCCAAATCATTTCTGATATGGCCTGGCCATGCTCTCTGGACAAACCTTTGTTAGAGGGAAATGTGTCTGGCAAGAGGGCTCAGTGCCCCAGGGATATGTTTTTTCTGTCAGCTCTGGAGAGAGTGCAAGGGTCTGGCTGACCCCAATCTCCCTTCCCCCAGCAGTGCACTCTCGGAAAAAAACTGGGATCCTTTGGCTCTTCAGTCAAGCCACCACATAGCTATGTCCATCATTTTTTGTCTTCCATATTGGGATTCCTTTGCATTCTAGCTCATTATCTCAACCATATAACCAGCTCTGACCCTATTATTCCAGAATCACTTTTAAATCTTGTTTTTTAAACCATTTCTTAGAATCACAGACTCAATGGGACCTTACTGTTCATTTTGCTGGCTTCTCAGTGATACTGCTATCAGGTGCTACTACATATTTTTTTAGTCTCTACTTTTTCAAAACATCTACCTCCCCACTCCTTCCATCTGCAGATGAAAAATTTGCTCTTGAGAATATAAAGAACAAAGCTGCTCCCCCTGCCCGGAGCCAAGCAGTATCAGTCAGGATGGGCCACGTTGCGCTGCAGTAATAAACAGTCCTCAGATCTTGGAGGATTAGCCCAGCAAAGGTGACTTTCTCACCTACGTTACAAGTCATGTGTAGGCTACCTGAGTGTGCTTTGCACATCAGAATCACTCAGGGACATACAGTGATGGAAGCTTCATTATGATACTTACTTCCACAAGCACCAGAAGTTGGTAAGCAGTGGATTGACAGATGTCAATAATGGGTACTGGGGTCTTGGCTCCAACCACTTACTTCCTTCAGGCAAATTCTTTCATCTTTTTAAATGTCAGTTTCTTACCTATAAAGTGAGGATAATGAGAAGGTACCTACCTCATGAATTTGCTGTGAGGTTAACTAAGAGGATGAGTGTAAATCCTTAGCCCAGAGTCTGGTTCATAAAAAGAACTCAATAAATGTCAGTTATTATATATAATGTCAACATAATATTATGTATACTCAATAGTGGCTACCACCTCCAGACAGAGGATTGGTTCTTTTCACTATTCCTCATGTTGACCAGTTTGAATTCCTCTGAAGAGTTGAGTTTTTTTTTCTGTAAGTCATTTTTACATTATTTTTTATGCATTTTATCACATGAGAGAGGCCTTATGGGTTCAAAGCTGAAGCACAAAGGATGTAAACATGTGTCTTGTCAACCTCAACCTAGATTTATCTAATTCAAGGTTCATTACCAAGTCCTTTTGAGCCCAGAGAAGGGAGGTCAAATCTGGAGAAGAATCCTTGCCTGAGATAAAACCCTGTGGTAGAGAGATACAGAAATTAAACTGTAAGTCAGAGTTGGAAGAGGCTTTTAGAATAAGCAAGTCTCATCATGTCTTCTCTTTTACAGATGGCGAAACACAAGTCCAGAGAGGGAAAGATACTGATACAATATCACACAGCAATTCAGTGTCAGAGCTGGGGCCAGACCCCACTTGCTTTATTTCTAATCTTGGGGCTTACCGCACACCACATAAGGGGACAACATTCTCTACCATTGGGACAGGGCGAAGAGGAGGGCAGATCTCTCGGAATTATGGCTTGTCCTCATTTCACAGAGTTGTACTCCAATGGAGTTGTAAAGTTAAGAACTTTATAAACATTACCTTATTAAGTCTTCTTGGAAACCCGAAGTCACAGCTCCTCTGGGTCATGGGACATGCGTTGAGCATCCAGTGAACAAACAAAGGGTAACGTTACATTTTTCACTTCGTTTAGGAAACCTGGCTTCTAATTATAGGATTTGTTTAATAGTCCCTGGTGGTTTACAAAGGCTTGGAGTCAGCCTGCAGTCCTCAGGGCTGCTGAGGAGTGTCAGTTGGGGAAACATGGGCAGGGTGGGAGATAGGGAGCCGAGAGGAGTTCTCAGCATCAAGGGGAGAGATGGACGAGCAAAGTCAACTTAAGCCAAGGCCTGGAGGGGAATATTAAAGCAGATTTCCCTAATCCCATCAACCAGGTTGCTCCTAATTGGAATCTACCTCCAATAACTCTCTGTTCTATTACCATAACCCTTTCATACATGGGCAATGAATATGAGTTTGCTCTATGGCAAGCAGGTGAAGCAATAGTCACATTACTCTTGGGTTCTATGAAAAACTGAGCCCCCTGCAACAGCAGTCATGATCAGTGTCCCCTTCCCTGGGGAAAAATGGACTAGAAGTTGGCTCAATCTCCAGTTATTTAAATAAATCAATTTTAAGTAAGTTGTTTTTTTAAATAAATCTTTATAAATTCTGTACAGTACTACTCTCCTCGTATATTATATTCCCTTAACACAAATAAAAAATAGAAATTAGAAAAGATAGAAGTAAAAATAGAAGTCCCTAATATATAGTAACTATATACATAGCTATAATGTATAACTAAGCCCCTTCAGTTCATTACCTCAGTGTAAATCAGGAAAAAAATCAAATACAGAAACTACAATGATATAAGTCAAAATCATCCAAATTCCCACATTCCTTCAAACATCCAACAGTGAATTTTCACACACAAGTGCACCACATGCACACTTACGTGTGTTAATCTTTGCACAGTTCAGGCTGTGATTACTACTACCCAGTTGGTCCTTAGACCAATGTTCAAGACCCACATGTTGGTAAGGGCAGGAGGTCAGATCTGCAGTGCAGCCACTCTCCCCCAGGCTCTTACCACCTTCCTCTTATACAACCAGGGGTCCCCTAGTCCTTACAGGTGTTTTGGGGTGGGGACAGCATCCAGGCCCATCTGGTGCTGTATCAATACACTGACCATGATAAAAGGATATGAACGTCTGAGCTGAAGGTGGTTTTGTTGAGTCATATCCCACGTTGTGGGGCAAGTTCACAAACTCCCAAAGCAGCTGCAGAGGTGGAAGCTAATACTCTCCCTAGACCGGGGAAGGGATCCAAACCAACTGCCCAGAGCCCTTCAACAAGGGCAAACCTGCATCATTTCCTATCAGCATTCACATGCCAGGGAGGTGGGTCACAGAAATTTTGGAGGACTGGGCTCCATCACTGTTCCCTCCCCCGCAACCGCTCTCCCCCAAGGATCAGCACAAAAGATTTGTTACATTCTTCTCCCTGCCTTTCCCAGAAATACTCCCTTCAGGCACTTCATGGTGACCTTCTGTCAAGGGACAGACAAAATACAAACTCAGCCTCCAGCAGGGAACTGGGCTACATCCACACTTACCCCTATATGCAGACACATCAGTTATTTTCTTACGGTAAAAATACACATAAAACTGAACATTTTAACTATTTTGGTGGCATTAGTTGCACAATGTCGTGCATTTCAAGAGCTTTTTCATCATCCCAAACAGGGACTCTATACCTATTAAATAATAACTCTCCATTCCCCTCCCCCCAAGGACCTGGCAACCACTATTCTTTCTACGTCTATGAATGTGTCTATTCAAGATACTTCATATAAGTGGAATCATACAGCATTTGTCCTTTTGTATCCGACTTATTTCATGATGTTAGCATGTGAGTCTTGAACATTTAAAGCATGACGTTTTCAAGGTTCATCCATGCTGTTGCATGTACCAGAATTTCGTTCCTTTTTATGGCTGAATAATATTCTATTGTACACATGTACCAAATTTTGCTTATCTGTTCATCCATTGATGGACATTTGGGTTGTGTTCACATTTTGGCAATTGTGAATAATGCTGCTACAGGCATCAGTGTACAAGTATCTAAGTATCTAGGGTTTTGTTGGTGGTGGCATTATTATTACTATTATTATCATAGCCATCCTAAAAGGTATGGATGACTGCAGTTTGGCAAATACATCATTTTACTTAAATAGTATTATACCATATATTCTTCTGTACCATGATCTTTAACCTCAGTAATATGTTGTGGACAGCTATCTATAAAATTCTTGAAAAATTGGTTTGATGACAACTATAAGCATTTCTTCACTAATTGTCTATTGCTTACCTCTCAGAATCAAACTCAGTCAATGAAATAAAAATCTGATGCTCATCAAAGAAAATATATGGAGCTTGATTTTTTTAACTCAGGGGTATAGCACTTTCCAATACATAACTGTCTCCCAAATGGTTACCCCTGAGTTGTGCCTTTTGGGTCGAATTAGTATGAAATCAGGGCCGGAGGTTAGGAACAGTTTGGGGGTGAGAACACAAAGTGTGAGATAAATTTCATAGGATCTCAGGGCTGGCAGGGACTTACCAAGTTGTCAGCCTGTTTGCATTCCTCTAACAATAGAGAGCTCATCATTTTATAAGACAGCCCACTAGTCCACCTCCTCCTTGAGTAAAGCCACTGACTTAAAAAGCCCTTGTTATGTAGGCCTGCATTCCATCTTCCTGAAGGTTCCAACTGTACTAACTCAGTCTCTTCCTCGATCGCCTATAAAGGTGGAGCAGCTCCACCAGGCCCCATGAGATTTCTGGTCTCTAGGCCCTTCACCCTCTAGGTTGGGATTCTCTTGCCCCTGACGGCACACCCCCTCTGAGGACACAGATCTCACCAAACACATTCTCACACCCAGCCTCCAACAAGAAGCTCCCCTCACTTCCCAAAACTTACTCACACATACTAGCCAGAGTCTCACTGACCTGTTTCCTCTGGGAGTGGAGGGAGTTTAAGGCTTCCTCGCCACAGACTGGGAAAAAAAGCCACTTCACACAATGGTTAATAGACATAAAGCACTCATAACTCCCAAGAGAGGCACGAAGGAAACAGACAGGGCTTCAAAAACAAACGTCTGAGACAGATTTATGGAGACTGAGTCACAAACGGCGGCCATTTAGTTAGCTTTTGGAGATATTCTGGTGCTGGAACACCTCCTCTCCTAGGATGTGTCTCCAGGTCGCTTCGATTCCTTGTTCTGTCCTCTAATAATAGACTTTCTGATAACAGAGCCTGTTGGCTCGGAGAGGTGGCCGACTCAACCTTGGCCAGGCACAGAGTGCTTGGATATTCAAATGGTGGGGTCTCTCCACAACCTACACTGGTCATTTTTCTGTTTTCTGTCTTGATGAAAAAACCTTTGAGGCTACAGTAGAAGAACTAACAAAAGTATAACAGTTTCACAGCCTCTCAAGTGGATTTTTCATATTTTTGATGGTTCCCTTGAGCTAGAATTACCTTTACCCTCGGATCTGCTGGTGGTGCTCTGGAGTGTCAGACTGGAACACTAAGCAGGGGTGGGAAGTGCGGGATACCAGGCTTCCCCGCCCACCATCTTACACCCCAGGAGTGGGCTTGTGAATGGCATCCACCTTCCTGGTTCAGGAAGGAGAGGGATGACATGAACGGCGAGACTGCTGTGTGTCAGGTGTGGCATTGTGACCCTCACAATATCTGGCATTTACTGAGCACTTGCTCTGCAGCTGTAGCTCTGGGCTAACCCCCTCATAAGCATGGCCTCACTTCATCTTCACAGCAATCCTGGGAGGCAGGGGCTGTTTCTGGCTCCATTTTACAGAGGAGGAAAGTGAAGTTCATGGATGTTAAACATCATCCCCACCTCCATTCCCCGTGGGAAGCAGTGGAGGCAGTGCTGAGTGCAGTCTGGCTCCAGATTTGACCCATTTCCCAGGACTGCAGGGGCTGTCCCACTTGACCTTCACGGCAACACTGAAAGGCAGGCCCTATTTTCCACATTTCACAGAGAAGGAAAGTGAGGCTCAGAGAAGCAACTGAATAACTGTGCCCAGACCTCACAGGGAGGAAGTGGCAGAGGCAAGAACAAAGGCGCAGGCCTCCTGACATCAAGAGAATTTTTTCCTCAGAAGGAACAAAGTGGGGGTGAAGTTTCTCCTACTAGTTTGGGAGCCTCTTAAGGTCAGGACAGGGTTGGGTTCAGCACCCAACACCCCCAGAGGCCACACAGCCGCCCCATACAGGATGGCCCAAGGCTGAGGCCATGTGCTGGAGGGAATCCTGCTGGAGGGAGGCGGCAGCGTCTTGTGCAGGCCCAGGGGTCTGGAGGACTGTGCACGAAGGTAGTTGGGGTCCAGCCTGCCTGGCCACAGAGGGAAAGCTCTGAGCAACAAGGCTACTTGAAGGAGCCCTCCCCGGGCTTCAGAGCGGCCAAGCCTATGCTGGTGCTGCCCCTCCACACACATCTTTCTGGACATTCCTCACAGGCACTGCAGGAGGCCTGGGGACACAGACCCTCCCCAGGGGAGTCATGCTTTCCTGGAAGAGTTAAGACAACAAGCAACTAAATCAGTAGACATGTACAACCCAGGCACGGTCCTAGAGGGCAACAAGCAGGAGAGGTGG